TTCAAAAAAGTTGTTATTAAATTGAAAACAGTTTTGTTTCATACATAACGATGTAAGCTCAATATATTCAATCACAGTTTTGTTGTCGAGACCATTTGCGTTCAGTAATTCCTTCAAATAGCCTAAAGTATGTGGAATTGGAGCACTTGGGAACAACGAAGATACATCAAAGGAGACCAAAATTTCACCTTCATGCAATGTTATATCTTTAATTTTGTTAATGAATTCAATATTATTTCTAACTGAGAAAGAAGGTTCATGATCAGGTAAATTTTCAAACTCACTTGATAACCATTTTGCCAAATTATAAGTCGGAGAACCTACAGCCGAAACAATTGGGCGCTTAGACTTGTCCGGTTTATGAATTTTTGGCAAAGCATACAATTTTGGTAATGACAGATTGGATACTTGCAATTTCCTCTTTAAAGAAAGATCAATAAGGGTGTTACATTCTTTTAGAGTTTTTTTAACGTCTGCTACCATCTTAGACAAGGGATTCTTCTTCAAATTTATGTAGGGGCCATTATCGATTAAGTTGTTAACCTTATCGTAATAGTCTTTTTTATCTAATATAACAACCTTATTTCCCTTATCAGCTTTTAGGTAGAAACAATCTTTGTTACGCAAACTCCTGACAATATTGTGCTCCTTGTTAGATTTTAATGATTTACTTGAAACGATATTTTTTGATAACTGATATAACTGGATATTCTCCTTCACTAGTTGATAAATTAATTAGAAAACGTAGGTATAGGTTAATGATTTCTGAAAATTCGACTTTTCAAGTGGAGAAAGATACGTCTAAATATTTTTCGATACCGTTTGATAGAGAGTTAACCCGTGGTCTAAAAAGAATTTTTAAGAATGTCAATTATAAACTTGTGTATAGTGCTAATAATAAATTACAACAATTATTAGGTAATCCAAAGGATAAAACATCTCCACTGGAAAGGTCGGGTATTTATGAAATTTCTTGTAAAGATTGTAATCAGAAATATGTTGGGCAAACTAGAAGATCAATATTAACTAGATTTAAAGAACATTTAGCTCAGATAAGATATGGTAGACCGGATAAATCTTGCGTTGCCGAACATATTGTTGATAAAGAACATTGTATAGATCTTAATAATTTAAAATTAATTAAACAAGTCTCAAATTACAGGCAATTAGATGCATATGAAAGCATCAGAATTAATAAATGTAAAGATAGTATGAACAGAGACAACGGTCCAATTCCTTCAAGTTCTTTGTTCCTACTACTCTAGTGGCGGAAATCTAACTGTTACGCTCAGTTGGCTCTGACTCGGTTGGCTCGTTTTTGCCACGCCCACTCGGTGCCCACTGGGCGAGTATATAAACGCTCAACTTGTAGATTGTACTTTAGTTTATAATCATCTGCTGATGATGCTAACATGGTTAGCGAAACGCGCGTCCAGTGTAAAAGTAAAAGTGTTTTGGTGTATTGTGGTGATTTAGTGTTTTTATTTTGCTGTTTAACACCAAAGGTTCCAACCCTCAACTGTAATTCTTAAATTAATCATAAATTTTCTGCGAAAAAATTATGATAAAACAGTTTCTGTTTTTTTTTAACTTTTAACACAAAAACATTTCAAATTTATAATATCAGTCTAATAATTATTTAGTCAACATATGTTTAATTTGTGTCAATGATGACAGGTATTGATAATTTCGATTCCAAATATCTCGAGAACCATTACTCGTAGCGATTTCTACCAAGATACCTTTTTTACGATGCTTTTTACGTAAAAAGCATCGTAAATGTATATTTTTTACTCAGTAGTTTTATACAGGTACAGACAAAAATTTATTACTCTTTAAACCAGTAATAAATCGAAATAAAAGTGAAACTTCTACACCCTGTATCTCCGAAAGTATTTTAAGACATACATTTATACGAACTTTTTTATTTATTTTTATATGAAGAATATAGAATATGTTGCCGAATTTCCGGAATACAGTTCAGACAACCCTGTATACTGAAGATTATTTACTGATCAGATATTGTGTTGCAATAATAAGAATAAAACTACCTTATACAGAGTGTCTAAAAAAATTTATTTTTTAGACACCCTGTATATTTTACGAGAATCAGATGCACAATTAATTGTCTATCAAATAGTATTATACAACTTTTACCTATCTCTTCAAGTTTTCGTAGAAAATGCACTTTTTTATAATTTAGTGCGGCGTTACACGGTCCGTTTTTGCGGCATCCCGTTTTGCAGGATGCCGCAGAAACGGATCGTGGCCTCCAATTATACGATCCTGCAAAAACGGATTGCGGGACCTTCGTGCAGCTACTACGCACATTTTGATATGGTGTGGCAGACACGAAGGAACTATGTCCCTTTCAAAATTAAACATTGTTTTATTACTTGAAGCTAAAAATTTATTACGAGAGCCGAAATGCCGTAAAACCTGGGTGCATCCTTTTAATTCCGAACGCGAAAGAAGACGAAGATTTGAAAATTTTATTCTAAAATTCGAAAGTACAATGATAAATTCTTTGGCTACTATCGGATGTCTCAAAAATCTTTTGATGTATTGCTTGAAATATTGAGACCCAACATCACGAAACAAAACACGACAATGAAGATTCACCCATGCCCTTTGTCGTGCATCTTTGTTGGAATATTCAGGGTTTGATTTGTCCCATAGGGCAATTCATGGGCTAATTCATGGGCTACCCATGAATTAGCTCGATAAATTGGTCCATATCAAACACATTTTGCTTTTCGCGATCAAAGCGGCATACCGCAGAAACGTACCGTGCTACAGTTTACATTCAACTGACTGTGTCGTCACCAAGGTTCCCGCATCCCGCAATCCTGCATTGCGGCAGCATGTCGCCGCACATCCCGCAAAAACGGATGGTGTTACATCTGCCATGTCATCTCATGCGATATTGCCATTTCACAACCGCAAAACGGGACCCGCAGTGCGGGACCTGCAAAAACGGACCGTGTAACGCCGCACTTAGACCTCTTTGACACTCTAGTTGACACTTGACACAGTCAAAGTGTACTTCGATCAAATTCACTTGTCTCAGTTGAACGCTCGCTTTTTGGATCGTATCAACTGATTTAAAATCGGTTAATATGGTCCAAATGGCGTCCAAGTGCGACACGCGCCGCGTCAAAGTAAATTTGCTCATAGTATACTTGGACAATGCCAACCAGGCTTAAAGGATATACAGGGTGTCCCAGAGTGAGAGTGCATTAGAAGTTTCTAGAGAACTACAAGATCTAGATCGGAGATTTTTTGCATATCACTGTTTTACAATGAGATCTATCTATTAAAAATATTTTCAATATAGCGGCACTTCCGGAAATACCGGAAGTTGACAGCAACTTTCTTATTTTAAATGGGGGCCCCCATTTTTTATTACATACTTCAATTCTCTGTAAAATTTTATGAATTTTGATATTAAACACTCTATACCTAACATTAACTATTTTCGAGAAAAAAATATTTAAAATTTTTGGAGGAAAAAACTGCCTTTCAAAAAAATTTGTACAGCCTAAACTTCAAATTTAGTGATTACCACAGTTACTGTGACATAAAAGGAAGACATGTAGCTATCTATTTCAAAAATTAAATTGTTCAAATGTCATGTAATAATGGCGGTAGCTGTCATGGAATCGAGCAATTAAAAAATTATCATAAATCATTTTTTTCAAATGAAAACCCACTTTTTTTTATTTCACTAGTGAAAAGGTTTTTCAATTCGTTACTTTTTAACTATACATGTTCCTATACCTAAAATAAATTGTTTTTAAGTTATTTAAGATTAAGTTTGAAAACGTCTATTTTTCTTGATTTTATCTTTATATTAAGTGTCAAACAGTCAGACAATATATTTCCATCTGTCAGAAAACGAATTATTTAAATTTCCTATATTATAAATACTGCCTGTCCCCCATTAAGAGTTTAAAAAGTGTATTTATAAAAATATATTTCGTGTTTTCGCTCTTTAGTGATATCTAATACTTCATATTATTAATCATTAATAATATACCGTATGATAGAAAAAAAAGCGCAAAGTTGACTTGGAAATGATGATCGATAACATACTGCTTTTTGAACAAAGTGTCACAATATGACATAGCCAGATCTACTGTTTTACATCACTTGACGTTTAAAGTCATAGGCTACTCGTTAAAATCAAGAAAAATATACGCTTTAAAACTAAATCTTAATAACTTAAAAACGATTCATTTTAGGTATGAGAACATGTATAGTCAAAAAGTAATGAATTGAAAAGCCTTTTCACTAGTGAAATAAAAAAAATGTGGTTTCCATTTGAAAAAAAAATATTTATGATAATTTTTTAATCGCTCATTTGCATGACAGCTGCGACCATTATTATATGACATTCGAACAATTTAATTTTTGAAATAGATAGCCACATGTCTTCTTTTTATGGCACAGTGACTGTGGTAATCACTGAATTTGACGTTTAGACTATATACATATTTTTGACAGACAGTTTTTTTCGTCCAAAAATTTAAATTTTTTTTTCTCGAAAACAGTTAATGTTAGGTTTGAGAGTGTTTAATATCAAAATTCATAAAATTTTACAGAGAATTGAAGCACAGATTGAAGTATGTAATAAAAAAATGGGGGTCCCTATTTAACATAAGAAAGTTGCTGTCAACTTCCGGTATATCCAGAAGTGCCGCCATATTGAAAATATTTTTAATAGATAGATCTCATTGTAAAACAATATTGTGCAAAAGATCTCCGATCTAGATATTGCAGTTTTCTAGAAACTTCTAATGCACGCTCAGCCTGGGACACCCTGTATAGACCGCGCTTTATCTTAAATGCATGACAGAGCAGAACATTTGCTGAATATCGCAACCTATAGTAATTAAATATGTTTTAAATTATGTAATTTATATATTAATGAAGTACTTTATTATTATTATAGCTCTAACTCCCTGTGACGTCCGGGATAAGAAAAAATATGTAACTTATGTGTTTTATCGTAGATAGGTTTTTATTCAATTTTTAATTGTATGTAACTATAATAGTAGATATACCATATGATTTAAACAAAAAACGACATCGCTGACGCCATTATATTTTTAACTGATGTAAAGACCTACATTAAAAAAATAAATATTATAAAATATAACTGTATAAATATGTTTTACTTGCTTGTCTTAATGTAACTCTACAATACTTGAGTGATTTTTAATGAGAGATTTCTGATGGTCTTTAAAATAGGTTAGTTGTCTGGGTTGTCCCCTTTTTTAAGTAACCTGAAAAGATATTTCCATACAAGATCAACTTTATCACTGATTACAATCCCCAATGTATACATACTCAATATTTGTATAATCTAGTAAGGGCTCAACTGATTCAAAAATATTGTAATACTTCGAACTTCTGCGAGCGATTTCTGCTGCAGTTTCACCAGAATTATTTTTAAGTTTTGTATTTATATATGGGTGCATTAAAAGTAGTTGCACAGTATCGTAACATGCTCCATGGGCAGCTGCTATATGTAAAGGTGTTTGACCTGTAGAAAAAATTGGGCTAAGCTTATTCTCAGTTCTCATATGTTAGTTTTCATTAGTTTACCTCCTTCAGATGTAGCATTAACATTGGCTCCACACTGAATTAAATAAGCTGCACATTTCACATTATTCCACTGACAACATGAATGTAATGGCTCCCACAGCATATCAGTTTTTGCAGATATATCAGCCCCTTGTTCAACCAAATACTTAACAACTTCTAAATGGTTACTATAGCATGCCCTATGAAGTGGGGTATACTTATCTTTATCTACAGTCGATATCAGTGTTTTATCTTCATTCAGAAGAGCTTTAATTGTCTCTAAATCGCCTTTTTCTGCGGCCTCTAAAATTTGTTTTTGTCGTTCCTCTGAAAAATATAAACGTCAATAAAACAAACATTGTAAAAATCGGAAAATAAACCGGTGGGATTTCTGTCAGTATCAATATCATTTAAATCATCTTCCCAACCGCTAACCGAAAATCGACCATCATCATTCATATCACTCATTTTAATAAAACTTTGTTGTCAATTAAAATGCTTGTGATTATTGTAAAATTTAAAAATATTTGTTGACGTTGATATACAAAATAAGGTTATGTAAATTCACAGAATGTCAATTTAAAATTTCAAACTTTGAAAGTAGAAGATATATAACTTACTATACTCTGAACAGTGCCTTCTATTAAAAGATCAGCCTACGGGCGAGATTTATGACGTCACGCTAGTTAGATATAACGGATTAATAAATATGTTGTAGAATACATGGAAAACATAATTATTCCTCAGATTTTTGGTTTGTATTTTAAAAATGATATAGTTTAAATGAAATATACATAATATACAGTTAATAACTACAACATATATACCTATTTATAGTAATAAATACTTTGGCAAATAAACTATGAACCATACAAATGCAGCAAATGTTTTACGATGTACAAATAGTGTATAGGTACATAACATAATGGGTAAAATGTAAATATATTTTAAATTTTGGGGTTTGAAAATCGATCTAATTTAACAAAAAACATTCAATATCTAATAATAGTGATGTATTATTATTTGCATTCACAAAATTTATATGTATATCTTGCAAGTATCAATCTTCGAAAAATTATATTTACAAATAATACAATATTATCTAAAAAAGGCGTCAGCGATGGCTATGAAATGAAGATCGCTGGCATTTTATATGTAAAATTATTCTAAAATTTTTGATTTTCTTGGGATTTTTAGGTTCGGGAAAAACGCTGATTTAAGTTTTCATTTGGGTTTTCATTATTTTTATTTTGTTTAAAAAAACGTTTCGGCTAACTATAGCCTTCATCAGTGTTGTGCATATGAGAAAAATAGTGTCGAATATAATCCAAAAAATTACAGATACAATATAATTCACACCTTATAATGTTTACTGCAAATAATAAACTAATATAAACTTATCAAAAGATGACCACATATTTTTTAAAATTATTATTCTTAACACTAAAATTATCTACATTGACTATGGAGTACGCAGTAAACATTATGTGCGTGGTGTGAATATTTTATATGTAATTTTTTGGATTATATTCGACACTATTTTTTTCATATGACACAGCACTGATGAAGGCTATAATGTTAGCCGAAACGTTTTTCTTAAACCAAATAAAAATAATGAAAAACGAAATGAAAACTTAATCAGCGTTTTTCCCGAACCTAAATTCCAAGAAAATCAAAAAATTTAGAATATTTAGAAACAAGGTTCAAGAATATCAAATTTTCCAAGATTGTAAAATTCTAGTTAATTATTTTATATGTACAGTTATTTAGGGAATGTCATCGATGTTCATTTCCAAGCCAACTAGACGCCGATTTTTTTCGGTGATACGGTATAATTCTTACGTAAAATGTAAATAACATTAGACCAATTAAAACAAAGAAATATGAATTTCTTTGTATTTTTAGTAACACCTTTATTCTTAAAACTTAATTTTGTATTATGCAAATATACCAATTTTATTGTTATTTTATTCATATTCTATTCAGCCATCACTTAAATATTTGATATTAATTTGGTATTATAAATAATCAACACCTTTCATTAAAAATTACTGAACAAATATATGTTATGCTTGACATACATTATATATTATCAAACAAAAACACATTCTTCTTTTAAACTGTATCTGTCTTGTCTTTACAAAAATCTTTTTTAAAATGAACTCAAAGTAATAATCTTTTTCATGATCTTTAATACACATATTCTTTATTTTTCCCTAGATCATAATACCTACTTACGTGTTTGAATCTATCGAAGCTGAACCAACAACACTTGGAGTGGAGATTCCACAATATGAATAAAATAAACATAGTTGTCCAGTTTCATTAATACCATCATGGGAGAATATTATTTTTAAATTTATTAAAGATATTTTCAATAAAATTCTCTTGATTTATAACTCGTACCCACTTTTCTTGCTCTTCCGGACACTTTAGGCTGCCTAGTATAATAACTATCCTTAGTAACTATCCTTTCCACCAGGAACACAACAAAGATGAGGCATAGCACCAATAACACACTCCACTTAAGCTTTATTGATGAATTGTTAGAGTCTTAAAAAACACACACAAAAATCACGATAAGTAAAAAATGTATGGGCACTTTTAGGTTAAATCACTTGCACAACGTGTAATTTTTAAAATTTCTATTTTTTTATGCGAAACCGAGAGTGACCATATATCTGGTAGTAGTTTATGTGGCGTAACGGCGTAATGACCTTGAATAGATTTCCAGTAATTCTATTGGCTGAAACATTCATCTGTCAGAAATTTTATCTGTCAAATTCATCTGTCAAAAATTTTAGCCAATAGAATTACTGGAAATCGATTCAAGGTCGTTACGCCGTTACGCCGATACGCCGTTTTTAGGATAGTGTGGCTGCACCCTCAAACGTTTCAAACTTTGAAAGTAGAAGATATATAACTTACTATACCCTGAATAATTTTTGGTTGCATATATGTCACAATTATTAATCTGCACTCCAATCTCCAACTGACGTAACATAAATATATAGCTGGCGTTCTGCATATTAGAAGAAGACAGAGAATGAAACTATAGTGTATTTCCTCTGTTTGAAATGTTATAGAACCTGAACGGAAAAGTTGTTTACGTTTTCCATTTTATCGAAAGCCACACCTATAATTAATTGAATGTTAAGGTGTATTCAATAGGTATATTATAAACTTATTTAACAACTGTGGTTCTTTTCAATAGTGCCTATTTTATAATTATTTTATTTTCAGCTGTACTACAAACAACTATTGTTTGTAGGATATGCGATGTCTGATTTCGGCAGATACGGTAATCAATATAACTTTAATTCGTATCCTACTCGAGAGCCTATACAACCCATTTACGATTACCCAAACGTCCCCCATGATACTGCACCACTTGCTCCTATAGAGAAATACAGCCACGTTGGTGATTTTACTCCATTTTATATTGTTGTCACAATCTGCAGTATAATTGGGTTCTCATTGTTCATTTTGAATATTTTTCTTGGTTGTTGCTCTAAATATTCGGACTACTGGCAAGACCGTCACACTGGTAAGAAAATTATAATTTTCTTAGTATTGGCATATGTAATAAGATTTTTTCAGGTAATCGTTGGATTGTTTCGCTTTGGACATCCACACCTCACAATCAATCAGCTCTTGATTATCCAGTTGAGCTTCAAGAAATTTCTTCCGTTAACCAAGTGGTTTATGATCATCCCCAAGAAATAGAACATTCTGAAAGATCTGAATTTTTGGAGCTTAGACCTCAAAGAGAAAGTGAAATCTGATTTTCTAAAACTTAAACATACAACAAAAATCATCACAATGTTTCATGTCTACTGGCCTATGACTGCTTTCATTACCTTAATTATTGTGTTGGGCACTATTGTTGCTATTTTGAAATGGGGGCCACGTCTTTGTAAGGTAAGGCACACCACCCTACCACAAAGAACGGAGTGGCAACATAGATCTTACGAGCAACAAGTATGAAATTCTTAACTAATATTATTGTAATCTCAATCCGTCCATTTACATATTTTTAATTATGAACTTTTTACTGTAATCTCATTAATTTTACTATGCCCGTCCATTTATATACTTTTAAATGTATAAAATGTTTAGATGTAATGGTGTAGCTTAAGTATTTTTATATTTTTATAAACTTTAGAAATAAACACACAATATGTAAATGGTTTTTCTATATAACCAATGGTTCCTGCCTCAGACCATTCCTGCTATTGATTATTGATCGATTAAAACTATTTTTCTATATAATTTGTAAAAAACGAAAATATCTTCAGATCTAAAAACGCATAATACAAAATAAAAGTACCTAGATTATTTTATCTTCACAAGGACAAAATATTATACGTAAGTGTTGTCATTTTTAATATCTGTATTTTTCAAAAGCAGTTTTGCTTGTTACTTCTTCATGTGAAAACAGAAAAATCCAAAACAAAATTTTTATATTGAATTACAAATGCCATACGATTGAAAAAAAACCTAAGATGGCTTGGAGCTGACAATAAGTGGCATACATTTTCAAGAAATCTTAATTTCCAAGCTAACTATGACAGTTTTATTTCAATCGTTTCCTATTCAATCATATATCTCCTATTCAGTAAGTGTATTTAGCAAGCTAATACACGAAATCTTTGTGTCATCAAAACAATATATTAAAACTCCATATTTATTCAAAAATAATTAAATAAACTTGTATTATGAAAATTTATCTTACATAGTATTAAAAACTATAAGTAACATAAATGCATTTGTAACAGTGTTTCAGTCAGCAAAAACTATAGCCAATTTCAATTCAACCAAGTAATTCTCAATTTACTCAAGCTGTTGGACGAAATATAAAATTAACTTCAGTTGAATAGATAGAAGCTTATAATACTAGTTGTTAAAAATAATTATATCTAGTTTAACATAAACATATCAGTTTATTACATGTATAAACATTGAAGAAATATTCTGAGCCTTTATTTATTATTCAAGTAAACATTAAAAAGATGTTCCATTCTAAAACATCCTAATATATACAAAATAATTAATATAGTTGATTAATGCTAAACCAGAAATATAACCTGTTTCATTTTAAATGCTAATACTCTTACAATGCTATTGTTTAATGCCAAATAAAAAAATTAAAGAAAGCCAGTCATGCCCTAAACCTACCACTGGTTAGTTACAATATTTAAATTTTAACAGATGTAAAACAAGAGAGCATAACAATTACTTATTAGTTTTGCTCCCATCTTTTATGTATCTCAGGTTTGAGATTCACTATATGCACATGAACTGCTTGGAACTTTTCATACTTTGGAGGAATTGGACAAAGCTGATACTGTACTCTATCTCCAGGTACCGGTATAAATTCATCTTCAATGCTATAAAAATAAAATAAAACTGTCATCATTGGGTACTAAGATCTATTTTTAAAATCTAAGGTTTAGTTACCTACATTAATTATGTTTAATGAATCCTAATTTGTCTATTAAAGAGTATACGTCAAGGCTGCCCTCTAATACTTTAAATGGGTCAATAATATTAAGAAAACTTACTCTGAGATGTGGACAAATAGGTCTTCGCTACCATCTTCAGGAGTAATAAAACCATGGCCTTTTTCTCTGCAAAACAGCTTTACTTCGCCATACAGATTTTTAGTTTTTACAATTCGTTCACACCTGAAAAAAATAATTGAAATTATTTGTTTAACAAACCAGTCACAGCCAAAGTAGTCCACATACGTTGAATTCGTTCTAGTTCTCTTCGTGATTAGAGGACTAGGAATAAGATGACTTAGATCAAACTTTTTATCAGCCTCAGTCATTATTGTATCAACTGGTAATTATAGGAAACTCTAGATTACTTTCAGTCACGAAATGCTAAAAATATCTTTCGGTTTGAAGTTGTTAAATTTGATCTGTGATTTTTGATAAATAGAAAAATCCGAAATGGTAAAGCAGTGGTAAAGATAAATGTCAAAATGAAAATGTCAAATTAATCTACGACGCATCAAGGTCGTACTTTATATATGACAGAACAAAATCTGTGGTTATATGTGAAATCCACATGAGTCATATATAATTCTCAAGACTAAGTAGTTCATATGATTGAAAATGTAAGGGACAGTTGAGTTACTTATATTGTCATTGTCAAAATAGAATTGACATTTGTTTGTGTGCGAAATTTGGTTTATTTTTACAAAATAACAAACTGATTTTATTGAACGATCCCTAGTCTTCAGGTGCCATGTCTCTAAACGAACGGTAGATTTATTATTCTATAGAAACAGATATATATTATATTACATTTTGTTTTAGGGTTCAAGAGGAGCTAGAAGCTCTGGAAGCAATATTAATGGATGATATTTCTATAACTTATAACGATGAGTAAGTTTGTTTTGTGCTTTTCTTCTTCCTAATATATTGAATAATTTTATATATTAATATTTTATTTTATAGAGGTTGTGCTGATCTAGTCAAATCTACAATATTTCCCTCAACTGCTAATGAAGTTGATAAACAATATGTATGTGTAACTTTAGAGGTTCAACTGCCAGAAAATTATCCAGACTGTAAACCCTTAATAAAGTTAAAGTCTCCTAGAGGTTTAGATGATTCAACAATTGATCATTTATATAGGGAAGCTGATAAAAAATGTGAAGAATATATAGGCCAACCTGTAATATATGAATTAATAGAGGTAAAGATTATACCCCAACAGTTGAGATGATATCTTGTTTTAATGTATAATTTTCAGCTTATAAGAGAAAATTTAACTGAAAGTAACTTGCCAACATGTCATTGTGCTGTTTGTTTATATGGATTTTCAGAAGGGGATAGTTTTACAAAAACTCAATGTTTTCATTATTTTCACAATTATTGTTTAACTAATCATCTTATTATAACTGAAAAACATTTCCACGAAGAGCAGGAGAAATTACCTGCTTGGAAACGGAGCTCTGAAGGGTTCCATGTAAGCTATTAAATATTTTATTTTTGTAAATTAAACATAATATAGGGTCTAGAATGATAGTTTTTAGGCTACTTGCCCTGTATGCCGAGAATCAATTAAATGTGATGTTGAAGAGTTAAAGACAGCTCTACCTCCAAAGGAATTGGAAAACGCTCAAAAATTTGAATTAACTAAAGACTTAAAAATGCTGCAAGAAAAAATGCAACAATTATATGTTTATCAAAAAAATAAGGGTGGCATCATTGATATTGAAGCAGAAGAAAATAAGCTTCTTTTAATTACAAATTCAAGTGATAATTCTTCTAGTGACAACTCTGAAGTAAGATTCCTTTTTTCTGTTTATTTTCTAATTCATAATAAACTTTGTCTTCAGGATCCGGGTCCGAGTTTAGTCAATAACATATCTGAACATTCTTTGGAAAATGATGTACTAGGCAGAAACCAAAGACTTTTTTCGAAGTATTCCACTAATAGATGACTAAGGCATTGTGGAATGTATGATGACATATTCAAGAATACTCTTCTAAGTGTTGTTCAATTTTGATATTTTATATAGCCCATTGTGCTATATATGTTACCTTCCATGTGTTATAGATGTTTTTATTTTTTATTATTTAGTTGTATGTTTAGATCTTATATAAGTGATTATAAGACTCTACCATGTATGTATTGTTTTAGATGCAATAAAGGACATTTGACATTGGATTTCTGGTTGAAATGACAGTTTCATAGTCTTTTAAAATATTTTATTTAAAATATAGAAAAACAAGTACAAAATAAAATAAACTAACGGAAGTACTTAATTCCAACTACAACCATAAACTTTTCAATAAATATCTCTGAATCTAGCACTGCTATATGAGCAGCTCGGCCAATCAAAGCATTTGCAGTATTTGGTAAGGCATGGTGGATGTCGTATCGAACCAATTTGAGATCTTTCTGTGCTATTATTGGTTGCATAATGTTATGAACCATTTTCCTGTATATTGTTCCTTGTTCAGAGGCATCCTTTAGGGATTCCTTGCAGAGCTCTATCCTGGCAGAATGTAGCGGCACATACCTAGTTATAAAAATATAATTTTCAAATTTGAAACTTAAATTTTTTTTATCTTTTTATGTATTATTTTTACCGGTCTTGTCCTGATCCACACAGCAGAATATTTTTGAAATGGTGTAATGTACTTCTTTGGCTCAGGCGGTATAGAAATGATTGCTGAGGGTCAGGTGTATCTTTAAGGCATAGCTGTAGTAAAGACCCTGATTTTTTCCATTTTTGCATAAACCACATGCCTAAAATATGGTTTACATTTATTGAAACGCAAAAGAGCTTTAATAGAACGTTACCCATATTAACTAATCCACTACTATTGTATAAAGTTCCTAAATGTGGTCCAGATAGTGATAAAAAAGTATGCAGTCTTGGAAGGAGAAACTTCATTTGAGGTCTGGTCAAGGCAGACCTAATGATTATGTTGCCTAATGAATGTCCGACGAAACTTATACGTGTAGGACCATTACTGCTAGAGTCGAGATAATGTAGAATTTCGCTAACTAATCTGAAAAAATACATATTTTAATTAATATTTCACTAAGTGTTAATTTTGTAATGTTCATTGACAATATTATCAGCTACTTCTTTCTATGCGCGTCCAGCCTTAAGAAGAAGTAATCACGTGTACACAGGGTCATAATAATTTAGGACTGAATCACTGAATAGAGCGTGAATTATTAATAAACTCGGATGCCAAAAAAAAAGCAACGGAGAAATTTTTGGTCAAATTTAAAGTGTTATATTTTTGTTATTTTTAGCTTTATTTTCATGAATTTTTTAGCAAGCTGTATATAATTATACCAACTTTAATTTGTAAACTCAGTTTTTTATAAACTTCAGTATTTGGGGTTAAACCAGGGGTTGTTTTTTACCTTAACTTTAAAACACTGAACGCGCACAATCATGTCTCCTGTGAATTTTGTTTTTTGGATCATGTCAATACATCCCTATGGTTAATTTTTGTACCGTAGTTTGGGGCGAAATTGATAACCGGGGGCGAAATTGATAATTACATGGTTTAGTCACATTTTTAAATTTAGTGCCAAATTTATGCAACTAGAAGCAGTGGTGTGCATTAGTCAGAAGCATTAGTCTTGTTTAGTAAAGCTTTGATGACAAGACGTATGCAGTCGGGTGTGCCATTTTTTATCTATTTTTTGCAAAAAACGCGGTTAAAATTAATTAACTAAAATTAAAATTATTTCTCTCTCTAATTTATTAACTAAAACTAAAATTTCAACCGCGTTTTTTGCAAAAAAAAATAAATAATGGCACACCCGACTGCATACGTCCTGTCATCAAAGCTTTACTAAACAAGACTGATGCACACCACCATCACACCACCATAAAATAATAAATTCAAGAAGAAGTGTCAAGTCAATGTTAAATTATGGAAACAGCGTGGCTGCCTGGGTAACTAATTTTCAGATATGGCGGCTGGGACATTTGACATGACATAGACATGACAATTTCAATTTTATGAAATTTATTTCCGTTTCCGGTTTTTAATGGCGGGCTGTTCGGGAGGTTTAAATGAGGGTTAATATACTTTTTACTCTTTCTAGTAGTAAATAATACAACAAAATTACTCAAAAATATTTATTTGGAATTTAGAACAATGTAAATATGCAAATCAACACAATTAAAGAGCTATAAACCAATAAACTACTGTATCAATATTAAATATTTAAATAATATCAGAGATGCTGTGTTAAAGCGAATTAGTAAAGTAACAGTGCATTGACTTACAGAAACTTGAAGATAAATAAATGTTTTCACAGCTTCACGGATAAATAACTGGAAGCAGGAAAAAGGCAACCGGAACCCACACAAAACCTGGAATCAAAAAAAATATGTAAAAAATATAAATATAGGTACCTACATAAGACTTTTGTGAATTAAATCAAACAGGACTTGAATGAAAATAAAATGAATAAAAAATATGATACATATACATCTAATACCTCATTTGTATTTTAAAAATAATCTACATACATAGATTTATAGCATTATTGCTATGAAAATACATAATAGGTACCTATGTGATATGTAATTACGCATTTCTGTTCATCTTGTAGAAATTTAACGTAGGCTAATAATAGTTCAATAATCATAATTTACCTTGTATAACTTGCTTTCAATTGCTCAAAATCACCGATCAGTCTTTAAAGTAGAGATACGGAAAAATCCTTGAAAGAATATCCCAAGATCCTTGGGTTTAAAGCTAAAAAAATATAAAAACAGTTAATATATTACCTATTTTTACCTATAATATGGCCCATACCTGCTACACGCCGAAACGTCGATTTCATCATTTTCTTCATGTAATTAATATCATATATACTTTATTAAAGTGTTAACAAGGAACTTTATATCAAAAAACATCTTTGTACTTATAAATTTCAGCCGAAATATCAGAAACAAACTTCCAATCAAATCTAAACGGCAAAAATTAAAATGGCGCCCGACCTTGCCAGAGGCCTCGGAGTTGACACATAGCTAACACACAGACAAAAGAAGAGGACGCCGACGTGCCAAAAATGTTCCGTAACAGAAATTGACAGAAATCATATAGAAATATTCAGATTTTTGTCTAGGACAGTCTAGAAGGCCATGCTTTCTGCCTGGGTAGGACGGCGCCAGAACTGTTTCCAATTTTCCGGTTTACTGTCACCCCCCTGCACACCACTGCTTCTAGTTGCATAAATTTGGCGCTAAATTTAAAAATGTGACTAAACCATGTAATTATCAATTTCGCCCCCGTCTATCAATTTCGTCCCAAACTATGGTAATAAAAGTTTTGATACAATTATACAGGGTGTTTCAAAAAACATGTGCCACCTTTCATGGGGAGGTTTCTCACACGTAAAAATAAGATTTATTTTTCATATCAACATAGGTCCGATTCTGCTTTGTTTTGTAGCTACAGGGTGTTAAAGTCTTAATATTTTTTCGTTTTATTATAACTTTCTTCCAATAAGTACTTTTAGCGGTTAGAATGAAATTTTGAGAAATCAACATGTTCAATCCTAACAAATAACTCAGAAATTACTAATTTTCTAATGTTATAGAACATTTTTTGCTTAGAATTCATCCCTTTATTGATTTTTGCAATTAAAATGGGTGATTTATTTTACACCCCCGAGAAGGGGTGGCACTCACCCCCAGAGTGAAAACGCACATCGCTACTATGTAACTTTTGTTTCTTACATATATCTCTATTCGCTGGTAAAATTTCACGTCAATCGGTGCGGGTGTAAAGAATTCGGAGGTACCGTAAAATGGGGTGAATAGAAACAGTTTCGTAGGCTATTAGCGATATACCGGTTGATAAAAATGTGGTAGTATTTTCCCGAATATTTTAAAACATGGGTCTTTGTTTGTTCTTTGCGTATACATATAATTTGATTTTTGAAAAATATGCATATAAATATTAAATAAAAATAACATTTGTGTTTCTATCTGCTATTCAGGAGAATAGAAACACACATTGATGTTAATGTTTTTATCTATTCTACTTCCAACAAGGCGATTAGAAACAGTAAATTATTACATATTTAAGTAGGTTTAACAATAATTAATAATACATATAATATGACAACTTACATGTACCAGCTTATGTATCACTTTAAAAATAAATATTTTATTTATAAAGTTTTCGCGCCATACAAATAGGTGATAAATCGATCTCACATTTATTGATCAGCTGATTGACAGAAACAGTGCTGCCACAGATAAAAATATAGTTTTTACATTTTATTGTGTATTACCAATGATAGAAAAATTAAATATGTCGACTTTTTTTACTTTGTATATTTTTAATCGTGATTTGATTTTTTTCAGAAATTTTGTTTCTATTCACCACTATGTTTCTATTCACCCCATTTTACGGTAATACCCTATTTTTATCCTCGCTTACTGGCCTATAACAAAAATATAACACAATTGACAATTGTATTATGTCTGTGAACAATTTGACCAAAATTTTCTCTGTTGCGAGAAAAACGTCTGTTTTTGCGAGTGTATAAAAAGAATGAGAATCAGTAAATTGGTACACATCATCAGTCAATAGAGTATATTCTTACCGATCAGTCATTGTATCGAAATCACTAAACGTGTCTCCCTGATTTCTTTCGGACATTAGAAAATCCAGGTAAGCTCCAGGAAGTCCCATCTCCAAATAAGTCTTAACGAGTCTTAAATCGGCCGAATTCCCATCCAAACCGTGGACACAAATTACCAAATGCATCCCTTCTGAAAAAACAATGGAAAACATTTTAAAACCTCGTTTTAAGAGATTTAAGAGACATTTAGACTTTTTATAACGATTAAATTTAAATATTATGTAAGTTTACTAAAATGTTCTTTAAGAAATAGCATGTTTAATTTTTTTTATTATCAACTATTATACAGGGTGGCGCACCTCATTCGCCTCAGTTGATTATACGAAAACGGAAAGTAGTAGAAACAAACTATTTCATGGGTATATGTGGGGAGGCAATGTGTACAATTTAAAATTATTTTGAAATATACAGGGTGCTTTAAAACTAAGATCCATACCAAAGTTGGATTCTTGGGCATAAAAAAGGCATTTATTATAAGGGTTAAATATGTTTAATATCTTTGGTTTTTAAGATATTTATTAAATTTGCAAGCTACAATAGAATAGATTATAACACCCTGTACAGGGTGGGTCAAATTAGACGCTTTTAAATGGAAACACCCTTTTCTATAGGAGATAGACTAAAACTAATATCGGTGTCTGGAGCTCAATTTTTGTCAAAAACATGATGGTGAAAACCGCATATCGATATCTATTACCGTTTCGGAGTTACGGGGTGTTTTTCAAAAATATGCATTTTTAACAAATCGCTGTAACTCTTTTGCTATGGAAAATTTTGTATTTTTATGAAAACATTTCCAAAGCACCTTTTTACGTAGAATTTAATGGTTTAAGTATAATTTTTCTAAAATTAATATTTTAAGAATTATCAACAAAAAATGATTGATTTTTTATATGGGACACCCTGTATATTTTTAATTTATTGAAAATAATTTAAAATTACCTTTCCAAAAATATAACATACTTAATATTTTGCTCGATTCCTCTTCGAGATATAGAGTATATAAAAATTCGCCCGCTTTCAATAAGTAGGCTTTGAACGGCACCGGCTGTAATGCAAAAAAATTCTAGCTGTGAGCATCAATTAAAACGAAAATAATATTTGCTATGAGAGATGCAGAATTTTATAACAATTTAAAACATATTTAACCAACATCAACACATTTAAACTATATCTAATAACATTAAAAATAAATAGCAAACCAAGACATGAGATTTTGCTATAGGTGTTCAACATATCGACCGTCTTCTGTTCAGACGGGGCAGTTTTTGAACATTTCTCGCGAAATTCATTAACTCAGTGGGGGTGAAAGATATCCTCTCATAACTGCTAAGTATTTCTAATTCTTGTCTAGATTATACGGAAGAATAAGGAACCTTTTTTTCGCAAATATATCAATAGGATTAGATCCATGGGCACTAAGTCAGGCGGCCTCGACGGCCAACGGCTGGGATCTTGGTTAGCTATTCAAATATTCTTGAAATTGGCTGCAAAAATTTGCTAATAACTTCAGCGTTCAGAGCCGGTTCGTCGTCTTGCTGGAAAAATATGTTTTCGAGTTCCATTAGAGGTATATCATCAATAAGGGGTCCAAAGCCTACTAGTTAAAAGTGGTGAACTTTTAAAAATTCTGTATTTCGAAGAGGATTATAACAAAATATCAAGTGTGCTATATTTTTGGAAAGTAATTTTAAATTCTTTTCAGTTAATTAAAAATATGGAGGGTGTCCCAAATAAAAAATCAATTTTTCTGTTGATAACGATAAATTATTAATTTTAAAAAAAATATACTTAAACCATTAAATTCTACGTAAAAAGGTGCTTTGGAAATGTTTTCATAGAAATACAACATTTTCCATAGCAAAAAAGTTACAGCGATTTGTTAAAAATGCACAGTTTTGAAAAACACCCCGTAACTCCGAAACGGTAACAGATATTGATGTGCGGTTTTCACCATCATGATTTTGATGAAAATTGAGCTCCAGACACCGATATTAGTTTTCGTCTATCTCCTATAGAAAAGGGTGTTTCCATTTAAAAGCGTCGAATTTGACCCACCCTGTACAAGGTGTTAATAACCTATTTTATTGTAGCATATGCAAATTTAAATATCTTTAAATATTTCAAAAACCAAAGATTTTAAACATATTTAACCCTTGGCTAATGCCTTTTCTTGGGCCTAAGAATCCAAAAATGAAATAAAATACCGGGTGTTCCATAAGAAAAAATATAACTTTGGTATGTATCTTAGTTCTGAAACACAGTATATTTTAAAATAATTGTAAATTGTGCACATTGCCTCCCCACACGTTTCTACATCTTTCCGTTTTCGTATAATCAACCGAGGCGAATGAGGTGCGCCACCCTGTACACAGGATGTTTCAAAAAACATGTGCCATCTCTCGTGGGGAGGAGGAATTCCTCAAATAAGTAGGGTTTCCATAGAGGCTTTTGGAAATTCCGGACAAAATCCGGACGTCGCAAAAAAGAAACTATAAATTTATTTATGAACTTTTATAGGACGGAAATAATAGCCCCTAAATCAACAAAATATAAAGCAAAAAACATTCACTATAATATATTGTTCACTATTATTTCTAGGAGTGCACCAAAAGTGAAAAATTTGAGGGTGCATCCACATCATCCTATAGAAAAATCGGAACGGCGCGGCGTATCGGCATAACGACCTTGTATCGATTTCCAGCATTTCTATTGGCTGAAGTTGTTGACAGATGAATTTTCGAAAAATTTGCTAGAAATAGATTCAAGGTCGTTACGCCGATACGCCGGCGCCGTTCCGCTTTATCTAGGATGATGTGGATGCACTCTGAGAGCCATAATATAGACAGTCTTTAAAACCCTGTAGCTATGAACCAAAGCAGAATCGGATCTATGTTGATATAGAGAATAAATCTTATTTCTACATGACAAATTTCCCCACGATAGATGTTTGAGGCACATGTTTTTTGAAACGTCCTGTATAATAAGTATATCACTTAATATTATTTTGTTTAAATACAGACCTGGCGAGAATATCCGAAATTCGTCGGCAATATGAAAATACGGCACTGTGGAAGCAAACGAATTGAGATCGGAGTAGAGCACCCCTTGAAAATTTAATTGACTTTTGAATTCCTTCTTTGCCTTTAGGAACGCCTTCAGGGACTCACTGTTGCCTTTGTAAAAATTGTTCTCTAAAAAACGTACGTAATTTTATTTCAGACGTTTCGTAAAACACATCGCTGGTTTCCTACACCAACTCATTAAAAAATATATTTCGTTGATATTATTGATCTGACTTTTATATTACATACAGGATCGGCAAGATCTGGCGTTGAGTGCCGATTTTCGTATGGTTCAAGCAATGACTAAAGAATCCAAGGACATATAACACCCGAGACCAAATTGTTACCATGGCTCCAAACAGTGCCGTAGCCATATATTTTTCTTAACTTAGCTGCTTGAAGGGATATTTATATTTTTGATAAATGTTTTGACTATGCCTATGGTGTAGGCGGTGGTATCATACTAATTAATTACCAAAAAAACGTATTAAAATGTTAACAAAAGGTACATAACTAGTATCGACGATTAGCACATATCAAGTACATATTATAGTATCAGAAAAATAATTACCAAATTCACTAAGAAAACGGTAAAAAGGTGGGGTGGACTGTTTATTTACTGATGAAAGACAACTCCTGGCTCTTTCTTATTATTGCGGCTTTTACACGTGAAAGCTGAACACATCACCATTGTAATAAAGTTTAAACAAAGTTCACTACACACAACAAATTACTAAAAATCGCTAAAATTGATGCTGTTGACGAGGTGGTGACTCATCCGTAGGCTCCAATATGATGACGTCTACCGTAACAAATTCTGCTGCAGCCCGTACATGGGCGTTACATGTCCTTGTATTCTGTAGTTATTGGTTTGAAGAATACATCAGTTAATACGCTCAGTACAAAGTGTCCCATTTTCCTACGGTTCATATCAAATAAACTTCTAGTTATTCGGCGCCGTGCTGACTAAATGGAATTTAAATTTCCCGCTGGGGATTCAGGTGACAGCTCTGCTGTAAAATATATCAAGTTGCCGCATTTATTTATTTATTTGCATAGATAAATGCAACAAGTTTAGATTCGAAAGCCCGTAAAAATTTTGGGTCGCGAAATTATTTTGGGTCGCGACCGTTATACGCGATCTGGCGCTGCTATAGCGGTCGCTAACATGTCGCTAAGAACAACGGCAAACAAAAACAGAAATAATTTTCTCTTGTCAAAGTCAGAATCTGCAAAAATCATAATAATCTTTCAAAATCTAAACCGCTCTCATTAAATTAATTCCGAAAAGTGTTTATAGCGTCCATTTTCAAAGTAATTATTGCTATCTTGTGAGTTCAATTCAAGTTTTATTTACTCCAACCGGTGATAATTGTGAAAAAGTGGTATTAAAAACTTAAAAAGCTATGCTGTGAACTGTGAACTGCAAAAACCATCGTGGATCGTGGCATAACGTCGGTTTCCAATGTTTCATAGGTATTTCATACATGCGTCCTTATATAAAATAAAGTTTCTTGTATGCAACAAACTGTATTTTATTTCTAAAATTAAACGAAAATAATAATAAATTTGAATAAACAATATTTGGCGATATAATTCCGGAAAAAGTCGAACCGGTCCGAAATTTTCAAAAGTTTTGGGTCGCGATCGTTGCAAGAATAGCGCCAAATAGTGTTTACATTGTCCTTATGGGCACTTTCCAATCTAAACTTGTTTCATTTATCTATGTTTATTTGCTGACATTTTGTCATTCGTTCTGACTAGTAGTGGGAAGTATCGAATGAATACCATCGAAACATTCGATAGTTGCAATTCATTCGAATAATTCGATAGATCCGTCATCTGCCTTGAAATATTGTATTCTAGTAATTCGGCAGCAAAAACCATTTATTTATAAAATTCATTCATTTATGAAATTCATTTATTCGCCAGGATCGATTATAATAAAATATTAACTGAATTTTAGTTGTTGCCCGGCGACGTAGGTTTCTTTCCGAGAAACCCGACAGCGGTCGGTGGCAATGCTATGAAAGAAGCCGGCATCTTTGATTTTGCGGAGTCAGATATAGATAAGGACACATTATTTTTTTTATTGAGGTGCTAGTATTTACACAGAAAATACATTATGAAGGGCGCTGTTGCCATATTTTGGTATTAGTTGATATTAGCAAAGAATATTATTGTTTGGCTTTAGTTAGTTAGGGATAGTATGTCTATATATTCTGCATTTTTTTTATTAATACTCTATTGTTACACTGCAATAATACTTGTTATTTTGGATGTAGGAAAATGTTTTTTAATGTTTTTAAGCAAAGACTGGTTTAATAAATAATAATAACAGCAATAATTTGTTATACCTATAAACAACAAAATTTAAAATCATTTAATATAAATATTTTTTTTAAGTAGTAGCAAAATATAAACAACAAATTAGATGTCAAAATTATTTATATTAGATCCTATTTAAAAATAATATAGTCTCTAAATTTTTTGTGTGTGGCAACGTTGGTTTATTATATAATAATAATTACAGAACTAATTTGTTATATTAACAACAAATTTTAAAATCATGAAATATAAACATTTAATATTTTTTTTATATTAATTATTATATATTATACTTTTATATTAATTATATATATTATAATATTTTATTTATATTAATTTTCTAAGCATGCAGTGTAATGGAAGGAAAATATAAATAAAAAATTAGAAATCAAAATTATTTATATTAGGTGCTTTATATTACTAGTTAAAAATTATATTTACTTTTACTGGCATTTACTTTAAAAAATAAATGAAATATTTCTTCGCAAAAAACTACATGTAAGAGAATTGGCATAAACAAAATACAAACATCGTTAACTTTTTTTTTAAATTGGCACGTGTAAAACTTTCATTTTAATTTTCTCACCCCATAGTTTGAGTTCGATAACCCCATTTACTTAACCACATTACTTAAATATGATTATTAAGTTCAACTAATTCATATTATTAAAACATCTAAAAATACAAATATGTATTTTAAAATTAATTGTAAGTTCATCTCATCCCTCTTAAAAATTGCTACTTCTCAAAATTTCCCATTAAAAAATAGACCATATACCATATAAAATTAAATAATTGAAAGATCGGACTACGGAAAACCACACAAATTTTCGGAAAAATTTTGACCACCTGCACATGCACACAATCGTCACTAAATAAAATTAAAAAATACTATTTTAGTATTTTAACTATTTTAATAAACGCAAAAATAGCACAGTATTTATACGGCGAAGTTATAAAAATTTGGAAGAACTAATAATGCACTGACGCATACAAAAATCAAACGAATACTAAATTTCATTTATCAAAAGCATTCGATAGTCGTGGCTCAACGATAACCATTTAGTCGCACGGCGAGGTTGTCACATATGCTTTAGTATACAAATGAATGAATGATTTTATTCGAATAAAACCATTCGATAGTTGAAATCATTCATTCATTAACCATTCGATAGTCTAATTCATTCGATAGTTCTCATCGCTAGTTCTGACACTTAGTTTTTTTATTATGAGTTTTTAAGTAAATAATAACTGTTTCTATATTTATAATTAATTTATTTTTGTTTCCTTCAATATTTTGATTAAAAGAAAATATATAAAGGTAGGCAACGCTGTGCCGGTCAAGCTTAATCACGCGACTAAAAATTTATTTGGTATGAACTCTATGTTTTTTCGGTTTATCGTTTATGAGTCGGAGATATAAAGATGCGGTTTTCACATCACTATGCTACTTTTTTTTATGAAACTAAAGATGCTACAGACAGATTTGTCTTAGCCCACTTGGTTTCTGAAATACAGGGCGAATTTGAAAATTTCATATTTTTCGACCTCCGTTGTGTCTTGATTATCTTAAACTTACATATCTAAAAGGTAAAAAAACAGTTTTATTTAAAACTACTTAATTAACTTCAGAAATTATCATTACATAACGTATGATTGTATTATTCTCATGTTATAATGTAAATATAAATAAAAGATAAAGTTAATGAAATATGAAAATATGAACTCTCTTGCTATTAAAACTTGTCTTATAATTATTGTGTAATATGTTTCTGCTTACTGGAACTTCAAGACACACCCAAGTAGCATTTTCACGACTTGCGACCACATGTTTACTAAACACAACGTTGGATTAGTTACAAAAAATAGTTAGCTCCCTACCTTGGGTATTAAAATAAATTTAAACGTTTTTATAACGTTGTGCCGACGTTGGACTAGTACTACAGCAAAGTAGAAGCTTCTGCGACGTCGAATAAACGTTGTCTTGTAACCTTTTTGCTTAAGTGATCTTTAGGTGATTCGGACAACGTAGTTACAACGTTGGACAATATAGAGTTTTCCGACGTCAGTTTCAGGACCTATTCCAACGTTATGCAAACGTCGTCTGTTTTACTAATTCCAACGTTGTTTAGATTTCCTTATTCTTACGTTGGTAGGACGTCGAGTCGTTACCTTTTTGCAACTGTATTGAACCATAACCTTAAATCTTAAATTTTCACTTCATTGTTCTGTTCAGTCAGACAGTTCAGTACTGTTTTTATTTTTATAAAAAAAACTTAATTAAAATGGGACATAAGAAAGGTACATATATTTATTTAGATTATAGAGGGCGGCACAAGCTAGACTCTAGGATGACTAAATTAGGCAATCTTGCGACTAGTATACTACCTGTTAAGGCCGAACTGCGACTTTATTAGTCCAGTATGCGACTACTCGAACTACTCCATCTTAATCTCCCAAAACAACATAGTGAAAGCCGCCATGTTGTTAAATAAGAAAATGTTTCGTTCCTAAAATAGCAATTCCTGCTTTTTGAATATATTAACTTGAAATATTTGACCCTAAAAATCACGCGCGGAAACAATTTTTTCGACTGCGAATAAATTATTCTCATTTTACTAAAAAAAAAAATTCAGAAAATTTTTAAAACTTCTTTAATTTTAACGCCCATTAGTATTTTTCAAAGTAGAAACAATACATTTATCAGTAAAGTTGTTTGCGTTTAACTTTTCTGCCTTGGGTAACGAGTTACAGAGTCGGTTAAAGTGTTTCAATAATTATGATCTTCAAACATCCTCCACACTTAAATACTTTTGTTTAGTATTCCTTCACTGCCATCTGACATATGTCTCTAACTAAATCATAAAAATAATATTTTTACTATAATTATCCCAATTTAGGTTAAAACGCGACTTAGACGCCATATTAGTTTTGTATTTCTGTGAATTAGGATTTTAAACAACGTTGCAGTTTGTACTAAATTAGGCTTCTAGCCAACGTCGGTATCGAACGTCGTTTCTACCCAAAAATTATTCTCCAAACTAGTGCAGAGTAGGGTTGGCACGAGGTTGTACCGACGTTGCGCCCCGACGTTTGGTCGCGTGACACAACGTTGTCCCGACGTCCAAATGCCGCTTGAGCAGCGCACCAGTCACAGAGATATTTTGGACACTTTACAATTCCACACTTTAACTCACTTCTAGTAGTGTACATAAATGTTGCTAAAATTAAAACAACAATTATCCTTACAGTGTATCGTGAAACGGGCACAAATTCGCAGAAATGCGGGAACAATTCTAGAGAAAAAGTTTTCTTAGTTTGAACTAGTTTTTCGCTGGGTAATTTTTGCTGTAATTTTCGAAATATGACTAAAACTTTTTTTTTAATGAGACACCCTGTATGTTATTTATTTTATTTTATTTGCCTTGTTATGAGCTTTCTAAAAATATAATGTACTCTATACTTGTTTTCATAAACAAGGTTAAAATGTAATATTTACGTTTTTAACATAGGAGGCCAGTTGAAAATAGGTAATCAAAACAAGTGCACTATATCGAATAATTTATTCAAAGTCTAATTTTGGTTAAGAAGCGATAGCCTCTAAAAGACAAATAAAAGAGGCTTTTTTAATACAATCTAATAAAAATAAATGTATTGCATTTGTAGATATTAGTAATATGTATGGCAATCGCTTCTTTAAATTTAAAGAACATAACATAAATAAACATAACATACGTAAAAATCAAAAACAAATTAAAAATAATCATACAGAAAGTTTGAAGCTGTTTGGTTTTATTTTATTAAGTAATTGTTATCAGGTAGTAATTGTTTACTTTTTGGAGTTTCACTTGATATAATGTCATTTTAACAGAACCTCAACGTTTTTATAGACGCATCTTTAGACGCAGACTTTAAAAAAAATAAAGTGTTCTGAATAGATGTATTTAGATTTTTTAAATAGTTTTTTTCTTTGTTCTTTGTTTTTTTGCTTCAGACGATGGGAAGAGATATACTTCCCGAAACGTTAAGCATTTTTTTGTTCGTGAGGCAAATTTGTTTATCAGTAAACCGAACTGATGAAAATTAGTCTCCGTTGGATTAACGTAGCAGTGTTTACTAAAAGTAACTATTTTATTTTGTAGATTTTCTTAGGGTAGCGAAATACCCATAGGATTTTTTTGGAGAGATGAATCCGCCATAGAGATATATACATTTTTTTCTAATTTTGGTTATTGGCTACTCCACGCTAATTCTTTTCTATATACTTATACCGTGCTTATCTTATACCCTATACACTGGAAATGAATTTATGCAGCTTTTAGATAACACGCTGTTAATCAGAGTTATTCATATTTTTGATGCACTTGTGCAGTAATTTTGCACAGAGAAACTAGCTGGAATAGCTAAAGAACAAAATTATAAATACTAAAAAACTAATACAGGGTGACCCATTTACAAAACCTAAGTTTGGGTTATATTTCATTTAGGTTATAAGAAAACCGCGAGATATAAGGGGAGTTCAATAAATCCAACAATTTCGAATTCGCCTTGTATTTCAGGGACTAAGAGGGATAGGACAAATCTGTGTGCAGCATTGTTAGTTTCATAAAAAAGTAGGTCAGTAATGTGAAAACCGCATTTTTGTAGCTCTCCTCATATACGAAAAACCCTTTAAAACACACGAAAACGTGACACTCTGTACAATGTAGTGAATAGAGAAAGAAGAATTTTCCCAGGCGTATGAAATATAACGCCGGATTATTTTCTCTCTCCGACAGCCTTAAACAGCCTCTACACTATCCCCGAAATGTGTCACGAAATAATTCTGGAAATATTTTGTGAAACGTTTCGCAAAACATTCTGGAAATACTTTCATAAGTAAAGTCAAATATAAGCCCGTGTTATAAAAATTTGTTTCCACGTTTCCTAAAATAGATCGAGACGCACTGTGATTGGTTGTTGGTTTTTTATTGTTAATTCATTATAATAAAATTAAATAATAAACATATTGTAACTCGTATTGTAATTATATTCCTGCAGATTGAGCGAAAAGTTTTGTTCTTAAATATCTACTCTACATATTATAAACGCGTGTTCAAATATTAATCTTGTGGAATATATATCAATATAAAACAAGATGTAATTAACGAAGTATCGTCGTAACAACAGCTATTTTAGAAACGTCTATGGATTAATTATTTAACTGAGATTCATGAAAAAAAATCCTTTGCCTCGGGTACAGATACCGCCACGTTTTGCAAATAGCTCAAAACGAAACAAAATTAATTTAAAAATTAAAAAACGAGGCAACAGGAAACCCTCACGCCCTCCTCACGAGTAGTTTTCAGGCGCTAAGAATCGAAAGTAGGTCGAGGCAAACCAAACTGGTTCAAGACAACTGGAAATAAACCGAAATGCGCCCTTGACCTGCTTCGAAGAGTTTTCCGCATAGTGTAGAGGCTGTTTTAGATTGTCTCTTGCCGATATGGTATGTTGATGTAATTTAAATATTATTGCAGCAAATAAACAATATGTATATCTAGGGAAAGAATCATGGATACCTTCAGGCTCAGTCTCACGATTGCTCTTCAGACTAAATTGACTAGGTTGCCTTTCCAGCGTCGTTTGGGTATCGATTACGTGGTAAAGCAGATTATCTACAGCGTTGATTTCTTCTTCCGGTTCGTCGACAAAGTCTTCTCCTTCCTCATTTTCTGAAACAATACGAAAACCTTATCGTCTTGCACTACAATCGATGATAGCGCTATGCTAAAGAATATACAGTTCTATTGTCCACATTACTGTCGACAATGAAAAAATAATGTTACTACGACATAGGCAACATTCAGTCTCATCATACAGTCTCAGGGCTTTAACAAAATCCAGTATCTGAGATGACTCCACAGAGGCCAGCTCTCCATCCTAGACATCGGCTGTACCAAATTTCATAACACGGACGGTCGTCGCCTCGACGCACTGAGTGATAACCCATACAGCACATCAAATCACATTTACGATGTGTTTACATTATTAGATGTAGACACAGGGTGACACAATTCCCCCGATGTAAATATGCTACGTTTACACATTGTAGTTCAACACGTATGCACAAAGGTTAAACGTCCGCCTCACAATGTAGCCACAGTATAGCATTTACGTATACACAAAGTAAGGGATACACAGTGTGCCGTAGGATACACAGTGCTTGTGTATTACGTTTAAACTATGTTTACACATTGCAGTTGTGACTACCGCGTGTATACGTATGTATTTTGCTTCGTATACTATACATCTTGTGCTAGATAAAACTACTCCTTATGAACGAATTTAGGAAATAACACAAGTTTTGATGCCTAACTTTTCATTCTTTTTAAGAAATATTTATTCAATGATACCAATTATATCTTTTTAGAACGAAAATTAGGAATGCAAAACTTTGTATTTTCCAAAAGTATCTCGATCGTAAGTTCAAGAGAAGTAGCCTTAAAATTGTTCCATTTTTGTTTTGTATTAAATGTACCATTTTTCTTCCATAAAATGGATTAAGTGGTTAAAAAATAAAATTCTTATATTTCTTTATATCATGGAACGCAATAGCGCAAATAATACAATAATAATAATTATTTACACTGGAGAAACCAAAAGTAAGAAAACACTGTCAAAGAACAGAATTTGTATCAAAATATATTAAAAATATAAGTACCTAGTATAACAACATACTAAAATGGTAAACACTGGTATATCGCCACGATTTGGTGGACCTCGTTTAATCATTTTTTTCTCCTCTTTTCCCTCCAAGCAGTTGGTTTATTAGCATACTCATTCATCGAGCACTCTGTTGGACTTTATGTTGTTGTATTTTATTTCCAGATTAACAATCTCACCCTTAAATTTTATATGAAACTGATTATTGAATATTAAACATATCTGTATATTGATCCATCAATAACTTACCGAATATCAGTGTAAGAAGTTCTTTGAAGTGTTTAAATATTTCTTTCTCTGGTCCATTTAGATTTTAATTATTTCTAAATTAAAAAAAATTATATTGCAGAGCTAACTCAGCTAACCTCTTTATCATTATACGAGAATATTTGGAATTTTCATTCATTGGAGTCAAAATTTCGTAAATTGGGTATCGAGTAAGGGAAGAGTCGCTGCTATAATATTAATAATACTCTTAGGAAGGTGTAACAAGGTAATTAAAAACTTGTACTTACCTTAAAATATCTTTTAAACTACACACAAACAGAACATTTATATAGAGCTTCTGAATGATAAAACAATAATGGCTGCTAAACACATACCACTCCTAGAAAGGAGAAAGGAGAGAGGACACATAAGATATACTTGGTCGGTGTATCTACGCTGAGGCTATCCGCGCATGCGCACCCCTTCATTTCATGCTAGAATGTAGACACAACAGTACACTATTACAAAGTGTCTATATAGATATTTATTTTATGTGTATACGTCACATTTTTACAAGGTGTGTACTAAAGGCAAAACTATGATACAAAGTATCACACATACATATGACTTATACATTGTATGTCTCATATACCGACGTCAGATTTCATCATTTTAATAATTATTTGTTACGTTACAAAAAACTCTTTAGAATCTTGAGTGCATACGGTATACAATTAGTAAACACTGTATCACACAATTCTATCAATATAAACCTGCGTGTATCTCATATGTATATGTTAGAACTAGATGAACACTTAGGTTCACTTTAACATATGTTGTTTCTCATGTGTCTCCCTTGTAGAAACGTAATTTCATTTGGACGTGTTATATGGGAAAGTGTTCTGGTGTTTCCCCATTTTCCCCACAGAATCTGGATTCTGTGGGGAAACACCAGGACTGCATCGGTTGTTTCTCAGCTTCAGCCTACTCAGATGTTCGTTAAAGAGGCAGTGTCAGAAAATTTCTGAGTTCTGTCTTCCAGGTTTGTCAGTTCCGCTTTTAGTTGGTTACCGCTTGGAAAACAGAATGGTTCTAGTCCAGTTAGTGGAGTGTTCACTCCTTTTCTAGCTATATCATTTACTTTTTCATTGCCTTCTATCCCTTGGTGAGCGAACATCCAGAGTAGGAGGACTTTATTTTCTTTGTCTAATTTGTTCAGCTTCTCTAGGCACTCTTTGGCAAACTTCGAATTGATGGTTACTGAGTTGGTCGCGTTTAGTGCTGCTTGATATCGATATTTCCTGTTTTCGATAGTTCCTAGCTAAGATAAATTGTACGCATTTTTTGAGAGCGTAGATTTCTGCCTGAAGGATGCTAGGGTAGGTGCTCATTGATTCGGAGTATTTAGTTTTCAGCCTAAATACTCATATCCCTGTCCCTGCTTTGGTTATGGAAGCATCAGTATACCACGTTATGGTATGGCCTTTTGTATGCTGAGGAAAGCACAATAGAAATTGCTAATGCTCAACACGAAGAAGTACCGATTTGATTAAAGAAAATATAAAACTCTAATTTCTAATACTATTTTCTTTAACCGTCAAAACAAAGATCGTTCTTATGTCATCTTACCGTTTGCTGTAATTGAACTAGAAGGAGATGCCAAATCTCTAAATTGTTTCGGAGGTGGTAAAGCTATATCGTCTTCGTATACGCCCGATGGGTTAGATTGATTAATTTCACAGCCTAAAAATCACAAAAAAGTAAAAAACAATGCACTACTGAATCTATGTCAATCTTCTATTAAATGTATTAAAAGATAGAGCACATCATTACATAATAGTATTGAAAGTTTTGTCTGCGTAATAAATACAGAATTTCTGATCAGGATGGCTTTATTTACAAAGAGCTGCATTTCAAGTATCGTTAATTCGAGACCAATCGGTGAGAACGGTGCTTGCTGTGGTTTGCAGTACTCATAAATATACAATAGTTGTATTATACCGGCGCCTTCCACTCAAAGAGTCGCATTTATCATTTTGAAAATTTTACAGTAGATTATTACAATAATTTCAACAGTCCAAAGGATTGAAACTGACCCCTCAATCTATACTAATATATAAAATCCTTAAGTGACTGACTCACTGATTAATCACGATCCTGCTCAAACCACTCAACGTAAGAAGCTCAATTTTGGCATACAGGTTGATTCTAGGGTATAGAGGTTCGATAAGAAGGAATTTTTCGAAATTCCAGTTCCAAGGGGGTGAAATATTTTTTATTTAAAAAACGGCCAAGTTTCCGAAAAAAAAAACACTTAAACACGTATATTTTATTTTGTTTTTTACATATTTTAAGATTTTTTAAAAGTGTATACAGGGTGTTTAGAAAAATTTGGTCATTGATTAATCACGATCCTGCTTAAAGCGCTTGACGTAAAAAGCTGATTTTGGAAAACGGATTGACTTTAGGGTGTAGAGGTTTGATAAGAAGGGATTTTTCGAAACTCGAATTCTAAGGAGGTGAAACCACCCCTCAAAATTAGAATATTTTTTATTTAAAAACCGGTGAGTTTTTCGAAAAAACTCTAAACACGTATATTTTATTTTGTTGTTTTACATATTTTAAGATTTTTTAAAAATTTATATAGGGTGTTTCATAAAATATGACCATCGAGTAATCACGATTCTGCTTAAATGCTTGACGTTTAAAGCTGATTTTTGGCAAACGGATTGACTGTGGGGTGTAGAAGTTCGATAAGGAGGGGTTTCTCGAATCTCAAATTCCAAGGGGGTGAAAATACCCCTGAAGTATTACAATATTTGTTATTTAAAAAACAGTTAGTCTTTCGGGAAAACGCATGGATACACATAATTTATTTTGTTTTTTTACATATTTTGAAAATTTTTAAAAAATTATACAGGGTGTTCCAAAAAGTTGGGTAATTTATTAACCACGACTGCTTAAACTGCTTGAAAGCTTATTTTTGGCAAACGGATTTTTCGAAAGTCAAATTCCAACGAGATGAAACTACCCCTCAAATATTACCAAGTTATATAATAATATCGCCATATTGTTTTTTCTCATGCTGACATAAATGTGAGAAAATTTTATCCAGTTTGAATGTTAATGGAAATTCTTGCTTTGCTTTATCATCACCGTTACAAATGATTAATTCGACGCGAACGAAGTCGCGGGTACACGCTAGTTAATAATAAAGGAACGTAATTTTCTAAACAATATGAACTGATCTCAGACACACCTTAAAACTCATATATGACAAATAATGATGAAACGGTGAACGATGGTTGAACAGTCTTTACTTTTAAAGTCCTATCGACTTTTTCCAAAAAGTAAGACTGAACTGCGTAGTCAAAGATTCCAGTCCCCAAAGATGCAGTGCCTTCAAAAACGCAATTCCAGTATAAGCACATATTCTCGCAAGCACATATATAAGCACATATTCCGCAAGCACATATTCTCTATTCCGGAAAGGCCTTCTCACAACTATCCACTTAGGAATGCGGAGCACGATATTTATCTGCCAACCCCGAGCTCAGAACTAGTTAAGGGCTCAATACTGTACAATGCCAAGAAAATGTACAATCATTTCATGTACAATTATTTCGAATATCAAGTCACTTTCATTCTTTCCCGCATTTCGCAAAGCTCTGAAATCATACTTACTGGAGAGAGCCCTATATGCGGTAAACGACTTTTTTGTTGATGTTTAATCATGAACAATTTAGAATTTTAATTTTAATATTTTGATCATCTCACACACTGGTTAAAGGTCTAGTATTTAATATTTTATAACTCTTGATTTTATGTTATTATAACATGATTTTATCCATTTACAGTTTTCCTTTTGTAAAATTTTCTAGATACGCCCGTGTTCTGCAATGTCCATATATGTTTTATTTGTAATTTTATGACGTAATTTTTTTTTTATTGATTTGTATTGTATGAAATTTTTTGTATTATTTGTATATTTGTTTTTGTGCTTTTTTTGTTTTGCTTTGTCGATGAAGCTGTTTTGGCTTTTTGTACAATAAAGCGTTGTTTTTCTTTTCGAATCGGTTCCAACGGATGTAAAATTGTATTTTTCTTCGTGGAGAACATTTTGAAAAGCAATACCGTTAAAAGTTATGTAATGTTTTTTTTTCTACCTCTATATGCAAAATATAAAAGACAACCCTCATAAATCACATTAAAAGACGTTTTTTTATTTCGCTCTACTGTAAAATGTTAGTTACGACACTTACTATAGAAGATGACGATATGTATATCTTGCGAATGGGGTTTACACCAAAGACATCTAACTAAAAGGAAACAAAACAATTTACATTTTATCGCGATCACGAACCGTGTTCCGCAAAAATCAATGATGACAGATTTACGCGGTATGTCATAGAATACGGTTCGAGTTCCAAATGTTATTATCGTTATTAATGTTTTTTGGGTACCTATAGAAACGTTAAACTAAATATTTGTATAGGTATATATAACTATAATTAATATACATAGATTGTGCCAGGATTATACCTTTGAAATTATTTTTAGTTTTCTAATTAAATTATATTAAGGAAATTATAGGAAATTACAATAACGAGCGGCATCGCTGTGGATTCATCTTTACTACGAAATTGTCGAAATCTGTAGGAATTTACGCAGACATTTGACGTTTTCATTTGTTTTCAGTCAACTTATATTTGACACAGGGGGGTGACAGTGAAATAGGAAAATTGGAAACAGTCATTAGTGTCATTCCTGTCATTCTCCTCACGACAAGTATGGCCGCCTAGACAAGGACAGCATTGTTTTTGTCTAACTATTTTCTAACTTTACAGTTTAGAATTGACAGATTTCAGTTTCAGAGACAACTTCAGATTTGTTCTAGAACAAATTCGAAAATATTCGACGCCATTTTAATTCATTCCGTTTACTTTCGTTTTGGAAGTTCAATTTAATATTTCGGTTGAAATTTATAAATATAATGGTATTAAAGTATATAAAATATATATTACATGAAGAATCCTGGAGAAAACGACGTTTCTGCAGTAGTAGGTATGTCCCATGTATATGAAAAATAGGTAGTAAATAAACACTGTTTTTACATTTTTTAGATGCAATAAAAATCATGTTATAATATCTTTGATCGGCGATTTTTCTGAAAATGGAAGCAATTTACAGCAAGGTAAGATCATTTTTAACTATAGCCAACATTATTTATCTCCAGTATGTGCGATTTATTGTCAATAATGCAATAAGACTGATAATCTGATTATGTTATCCGACTAAAAAGTCTCTTTTTGCTTCTTTTTGATTTATAAGCCAGGCCTCTTTGGGAATAATGGACGCTTTTTTAAACAGTATATTTATATTTTATACCTATTGATATTTTTACATTGTTAATTTTAGTATAAAAAATTGTTTTTCTGTTTTTCTGGTTTTTGTATAAGGCTCCCGTTTTCATGTTCGTGTGTCCGTTTTCTGTCCTTGAAGTCTGCGAATACGTGTGTTTATTTACAAATTACTGTAAGTCATGCTTATACCTTAACTAATTTACGTTAAAAGTACATATAATTAACTAATTGGTATTGAAACAAATACAATCCTCTATATTTATATATTTATTTACGTTGTTCCATATTTCAAATAAAAATATGTGAATAAATAATTTTTGGTTTTATTTACAAAAAAGTATTAAGCCATCATGTCCTTATCATGTCAACCTGTCAATTGGAAAATTAGTTCTCCAGACGACAACGAAGGCTTTCGGTGGCGTATCGTGTTTCCACGATTTAACACAGAGTTGACACTTCTTTCTAGTTAATTATTTTATGATTTGACAGCGCGCGGTTGTGAATTTTGTGCGGTAGTTGAACGTTTTGGTAGCTTTTGAACAACTTTCTAATAATTATTAGTGTTTATTGCAAAGAAAACTATTTAAAGTAGTTCTTAACTATCTACGATGGTTCGCCAGTGCATAGTTTGTAAAAAGGTGGACTATTCTAACCCGGAATTGATATTTCGACGGTAAGTGTCATTACGTTTTTTTTTAACTTTAGCCATGCTTACACGTACACGTATTAAACACGTACCTATATTTTCTTATTTGTTGGCGCTTTCGATTGTTAAATTAGAGTTACCGTCAGTTAGACCTCAGGCAAAAATAGTTATAATGGAAAATTGGTCTTAGGCAATCCCAATCAATTTTTGATAAAATTCATCAATTTTTGATAAAAAAAAACATTACGCTACTGATAGAGCCAAACGACAGAAAGATAGACGAAACTCAACCGTGTTGTCATATTTATGTACCCATCTCTTTTTAACTGTCATAAAAGTGTCAAACCATGTATGATTCTAAAAAATTGAGTTTTATGAATGGATTGTTCTGTTTACCCATTCAGATGTCTTTGGTTTTAACCATGTATGCTCTATCTTTTTAATCTAAGGTAATCAACTCACCTTTAAAAATAGATATTTCGGTTTTCTTTTCCTTATCTTTACTCACTTCGTTTGTCAGAGAGGTATTTAAATAAATTTTATTCGTTTTGTCCTTAACTCTTCTACTATCGCATTTTTTACGCTCACTATTATTCACTTTGGTTAATTTTTTCGTTTCTGCGGTTAAATTGAATAGCTTCTTTTGTAACTTATCTAGTTTTGATTCTAGAGCACTTGTGGCAGGATTTGGTATCTCAGTACTCGAAGCGACTGAACTGCTCCTAAAAGAAAAGACTTGAATATTATAACAGCAACGTGTGTTTACCTGTATAGGGTGAGTCTTAAATAAGTGCAAATATTTTCAGGGCTGGGAGATTTCGATAAAAGCAACATACTTTCTCTTTACCGTTTTTCAAATAAGTCCAAAATAACAGAATTATTTTAGTTTGAAAATTTCCAAAAAAATATGTTTTTTGCTTGAATTTTGAGAACCACAGGATCTTTTCTGGGTTTTCTTTCTTTTATATTTAATCCGCTACCTATGTTGCCATATGATCGAGAAATTATATTTTAATACTAAAAACTAAAAAAATTTCCAAATTTTATTTCAATAAAATTCCAAATTTTGAAAAAAATTTCGCGAAAAAATCCTCAAAATCGTTTCTCTCGGGTCGAAATATACTAGCCCTTAGACTCGCCCTGTATAAATATCTACAATATATCGGCACTTAATACTGACAACAACCTTATACTGACAACCGGAGACTATTTTTTTCTTAATGACAAACTAGGTAAAAGAAATACTTCTTTCACATTTTATTTATAGTTTTATATATCAAATGCTAATACTTAGCTATTTTAAAAATAAAATTTCGAAATATTTGTATGTTCATGGTCATTGGTTGTAGCAATCAAGCCATCAAAGAGTTATCATATAAGTCACTTTTTTCAAATGAAACCCCATAGTTTCTGATACATCTTCATATATTTGAGCTGAAGGGTTTTGATCATGTTTCTCATAATTATGCTGAATTGTCTTGGCTAAAACTTTTAAGCCTAACTGAGTATCACACATTAGTTCTTATTCTCAAAATAATAACAAGTTCAAAGAGAGAAAAGTTAAAATTCAGTCTTGTGAACATCAAGAAGTGAGCATCAAAGAACTTTATTACAAAATGTGCATAATATGTTTTGACATGATTATCAGTTTGTTGTCATTATTTCACCAATATTCCGTAGATATAGAAATATTACGCCTTTTTTGATTGAACAAAATTTACGTCTCTGCAAAAATGCGTTGTTTGTAGTGGTGGGCAAAACCGATATTTTTAAATAAGAGTTGAAACTGTTACTGTTACTTACATATAGCAGCTGTGTCTATCTATTTACATGTTTGTATATTTACATGTTTATACATTTACTGTTTCCTTGATGGTGTTGTATCTTGTTTGGTAAATGCTATAAGCTAAATAATTAAATTCTAAGTCCACCGTACACCGCGATCGACGGACACAAACGAAAAATCTATCATTTTTCAACTCAGCTTATCTCGACCGCCGGCCGTTATGCTCGTAACTGGTTAAAAAACAATGCATCTAAAATAGCTGATTATTTTCTATACGTTATTCTCAAACCTGGTGCGAGCCCAACATCGACAATCGACCGATGCAGCAGCGTTACTTTCCCACTCCGGTTATCTCGACCACTATGCGTTATGCTCGCAACTGATTAAAAAAGCTGCTTATTTTATATACTGTTATTTTTAAGCTGTTAATAACTCAACACGGACATCGACCGATGCAGCAACGTTCCCCACTCCGCTGTATCTCGACTATCGACGCGCCATGCCACCGCCCGTTATCGACGGTTGTTGAAATAAAAGGTTTTTCATACTAGTTGTTTTTTGGAATTGCTTCGAGCCGTATAGAATTTCGTGGCGATGTAGAGCGCCGACTTCGTTTCACAAGCGGTCGATCTCTAACGGTTGCGTTATGTTATTTCTAAATAACTGTTATAAAATAACAGATAGTTAAATAACAACACATCTCTAGTTGTTTGTAAGAGGGCATCAAATTTTAAAAAATCAAACACATTTTTTAAAGCATTTTAAGACGTCTGAGTAAGATTTACTCCCGAATACGAACAAACGGTAACACACGCTAGATGTGTTTTCGGCTTTAGATTTCCTCCTGAATCCGAATGAACGTTTGCAAAATGTATTCACGCCTTGAGATAAAGATTTCTATTAATAGTTTATAAATAAAAAGACATGAAGAACTTCATATTTACGTTAAGTACTAGCTTCAAAAACTAGCGTCTGTCTTACCTGGAAGTTATCCAACCGCTCTGTTCGCTGGTGGACGACGAGCAGCTACTGTAGTACTTCATGCTCGGATACCTGTACTTCTCCTCCGACTTCGGACTTAGATTAGGCAGTGATTCCGTTCCGGAAGAGACGAGCAACGGGAACATTTCTTCGGACAGGCACGAAGTACTGCGCACTTTGCGCAACACCCCGTTCAGTACTTGACTACTACTAGACGACCCTGTTTTCTGGAAGAAGGTTTGAGACAGGCTCTCCGTCGAGCTACTGGTCGAGCCTATCTCGAATATTTTTGATTTCGAACTTTGATTATCTTTCCTTTTTTTAACACTATCGCCGTTGTTTAAGGCAAAGCCGTTAGAGATCGCGGTGAGATTTTCGGTTTTCCTCGTTTGATTTCGCGTTTTTTGATTTATCAGCGAATTGAATCTCTTGTCGTCGTTGGCAGGTTTCTTTTTGGGCGAGAATGTTTGCATGGATGTTGATCGAGGAATGTTGTATAATCCTTCACTCGCTGTGTGACTTGCGGATTTTACCATTACTCTTTCATTTTCATTTTTCTCCACACTTTCTTTCTTAGGCATGCCTCCAGAACTTTTCTTATACTTTTTACTGTGTCTGATATTAAGCGATCTAAAGTTATTAATCGGACATTCGCACACCCGCTGTACAACGTCCGGTTCGTTCGCTTCAACCTCCAGAAAATTCCCTCTATCCTGCTTCAAACTATACTCGCTAGCGACATTTTTCAACGTCTGTATCTTGTAGAAGCGGGACTGCTGTTGCTTATCGACATACTTCTTTTGGCTGGAGCTCGTTGTGTTGTTTTGGATGTTGGACATGGATATGTGAAAACTGTTATTGGATGCGACTTGGAGGTGATCGAGGGATTTGCTGTGCCTAGCTGGGACGGTGTTGCTGAAACACTCATCCCATTTGTAAAGGCCGCCTATTTTCTGGAACTGTTTTTGCGGTTCCCAGACGTCGATGCCGCACGAACAGCTGGTGTTATCGGTTGTTTTCGATCTCTTAAAATTCGTTGGTTCTAAGATATCTAAAAATGAATTGACTTTACCGAATTTCATTTGTAATATCAGAAATATAAATTTTACCTTGGGATTTGGGAGCAGCGTACTGCTCGTAAGTCTTTTTGTCGTAATTAAAGGGGTACTGATATTGGTCTTCAAATATAATAGGCATTGATGCACAATCTCCATCTAGAAAACTGCAGTGAACTGGCAAAGGAGGCAAAAGCTGCATATACTTGGACCTAGATAAAAAATAATACTGTTTTACTATTTCTAATACATCGTTAAAAACAAATATAACTCATAGTTAAACACAATTAAATTATGTCAACATTTCATAGTTATACAGGGTCGCCGTTATGTATAGAAAAATGGCGCCTAGTGGTGAAAAGACGTGTATGAAATTTCATAATAGATATTATGAAAAAAACATTTTTTCTCAAAACATTGACACCATGCATCTCGAAAACGAAAGATATTTAAAAACTTATATTTATGTGAACTGTTTACCTTAAAAACACGTTTTTAATAAACAATGCAGACGAATAATTACTACTATTGTATTTTAGGTTTTTATTTTTGTATGTTGTTTTTAGTTAATGTCTTAATGTCTCCACTTCAGCTATTTTGTGTTGAAATAATATTTTGAAATATAAATAAATCAGCTTAAAATGAGTATTATCTTATTCTATATCCCCTTATTTTGTTCTATATTCCTAAAATCGGTTCAATGCACAGCTAATAGACACATTTGTTCTATATCCAAATCTAAAATCACTTATATCTTTTAAATAAAGCTTCTAAAAGTAAAATAAATACATATGTTTGAAAGGCTTTTATATTACCTTTAATTTGTATGTTTAATAGAACCATTTTGGTATATAGTGTTTACGGATATCCAGTTTAAACTTTAAACCTTGTTTTCTCAGTTTCATTGAAATGGTCTATAGAACAATCTTATTCTAGGGTGACGATTTGACATCTATAAAAAGACAGGGGCACGAGAAACCCACCCCCACCCCTACAAAAGTTTTAGTAGAAATGTTTGCAATTTCAATGACGAATTAATTTTATGTCCAAAGGTTTATGTAGTATTTACTACATTTTTTGTCCTTTGTAAAAACATGCAAATTCGCATAGTTTAATGTAATGTTTAATGTTAATTAAGGTCACTAAAGTTTTTTTACAGAATATATAGACAATAAAACTGTAATGTAAGTATGAGGAACAACAGGTTGTGAACATCAGATTTTTTTTAAATAAAAAAAAACAAATTTTAATAAGTGCATAATATGTTTTAATATGATTATCCTTTTGTTGTTATTATTTCAATGTTATACAACATAAGTGTCTCAATATTCCATAATCATGAAACTACTACGTATTTTTGGAACCAAAAGTAGTTAATTTACCTCTATGTTTTGCTAGAAGCTTTAACATTACTTTCACAAACTACCTTAACCACAACATAAATTATTTTAATTAATCATAATTTATTTTTTATAACCACAACAGTAGAACTGTTTTGTAACTTTGACGACGACTGAGTTATTTGATTTTCGAAAAAAATGTCCTAGTATTTACTACATTTTCTGTTTCTTGTAAGAAACGTTATTTGACACAGGTTTTTAAGAAAAAAATGTTTTTGAAGCTGACCCACAAACATTTGTTGCAACATCAAGCATTAAAATCTAATTGGCAAAAATATGGAATGTTAAGTAAGTGCCACAAGTCAAACCAAACCAACCCCCCACCCTAACGAATAAAAGAAGCACTTTTGTATAGATATAAATACTGTTCAATTAACTATTTTGTGGCTCTAAAAATACGTAGCAGTTCACGGAATATTAGGACACCCTGTATATTAAAAAAATCCTAAAATAAAATTCCATATAATAAAAATATTCTATTATGACTTTCAGCCTTAGCCCACGGCCACACAGAAAGCGTTTTTAGCGTTTTGCGTCTCAAGCGCTTTTTGCGATTTTACCGTTATAAGCGCTTTTTTCCATTTGTGTTCAATAAAAACACACAAAATACGCGGCAGGTCTGCAGTTTCTATTAAGATGTCCATTAGGAACGTTGCAAGCTCGTGGATTCCCGGCCCGTCCAACAATCAATCCTGTGAGAAAGAGATAGGCGAGGTCGGCGCCGTTAGCGCTGAAGAGACGAAGATAGAAGACGCTGGGATTGAATTGTGGACGGGCCGGGGCATATATTCGGAGATAAACACAATCTACTGCTAGTACCAATGGTGTGTGTAAAAATAATAATTATTATTTGCCATTTATTTTACGAATTTTAGTTTATATGTGTATAGTTTTTTTATGTTGTAGTGTTGTGGTTAGTACTATAAGTTATAACTATAATATAATATAATAAATAATTATAATTATATAATAGAATAGTAAATATTTCTAGTTGCTAATGCAATTTTAGGACATGATTTATGAAACATTATGGAGTGAAACTTCTTTACGCGCGCTGGGAGTAAAAATTGAAGGCCGTGACATACGAGCTAGTGAGTCGGCCCTGACACACAAGCTCGTTGTAACGAAATGTGTTAAGGGCTTAGAAATACGTAGTGACGCGACGTATATTTGTGAGCAGTCCACGTGTTTATCAAAAATATTGATTATTTAATACAAATTTTGAAAAGGTGAATAAAATTATTACGTGTAAAAAAAAACATTTGATACACGTAAAAAACTTTTTTTATTACTTTACGCGAATAAAACTGTTACACGTAAAAAACTCTTTTTTACGCGTATAAAACTATTTGTTACTGATAGAAAACTATTTTTTACGCGTGTAAAACTATTTGTTACTGGTAGAAAACTATTTTTTACGCGTATAAAACTATTTGTTACTGGAAAAAACTATTTTTTACGCGTATAAAACTATTTGTTACGTATACAAATATATTTGTTACACGTAAAAACTATTTTTTTACGCGTCAAAAACTTACTGTTTCTGGTAGAAAACCTTTCTTACGCAAAAAAATATATTTGACGTGTAAAAAACTATTTGTTACACGTAAAAAAGTATTTTTTACGCGTCAAAAACGTTAAAAAACGACGCGTAAGAAAATATTCCTTTAATTTATTACTTTTTCAACATTTTAAACTACACTTTTTCAAACATTTCCTTCAAATTTTTGAATTTAATAAAATCTTCCTAAACAGTAGATGTTCTTTATAAAAATATTTTTAGATAATATCCTAAAATGAAAAAAATGCATACTATTTAATTTATTTTTATTATATTATTAAATATATCGTCCGCCTATGACGGGGACTCATCTTAGAAAACGCTAAAGACGCTACAGAAAACAAACTGATTTGTTTTCATTTGCGTTTTTGCGAGACACGCCGAACGCTACACGCTTTTGGTGTGGCCACTGCTATATAATCCTGTTATTTTATTTTAGTCGCTAAAGACGCTTCACGCTAAAAACGCTGTGTGGCCGTGGGCTTAGGCTGTTTAAGTATATGACTATTTCTAAAAAATAAAAAGTTATGCTACCTTTTGAGCAACTCCGTTATAACAAGGTACTTGTGGTATTTCGTCTCGTAACAGTCTAACGCCGACTTTCTCGGATTGTAAACAAGGAAAAACAGCTCGGCAAACCGACGCACTCGAAGATGATGGTGTTTCCTGCTTAGGAACTGCTGTATGGCGATCTTGCAACTGAACGTGAGCAAAAAATAATTCCAAAGTTTGATGTTGTCGGCGCAGAGCTCTTGAAGATTCGAAGTGGGTTTGTAGGGGTTTCTTTTTAAAAACTAAAAACAAAAAATCATATTTGTATAATACCGTGTAAAATTTTGTTATTTTCATGTACAGGGTGGAGCTACTACAGAATCTTTGAAAAAATCTTTATAAAAGGATTATACATAAGATGTAGTTGTATTTTGAGTGTACAGGGTGGGTCAAATTAATATAGATAGACGAAAATTAATATCGGTATCTGGAGCTCAATTTTCATCAAAAATATGATGATGAAAACCGCACATCAATATTTGTTACCGTTTCGAAGTTACGGGGTGTTTTTCAAAAATGTGCATTTTCAAAAAATCGCTGTAACTTTTTTGCTATGAAACATTTTTTTATTTCTATAAAAACAATTCCAAAGCACATTTTTACGTAGAATTTAATGGTTTAAGTATAATTTTTTTAAAATTAATAATTTAAGAGTTATCAAGAGAAAACTTCATTTTTTATTTGGGACACCCTCTATATTTTTAATTAACTGAAAAGAATTTAAAATTAACTTTCCAAAAATATAGCACACTTGATATTTTGTTATAATCCCCTTCGAAATACAGAATTTTTAAAAATTTGCCACTTTTAATTAGTAGGCTTTGGACCCCTTATTGATGATATGCCCTTAATGGAACTCGAAAACATATTTTTCCAGCAAGACGACGCACCGCCTCTGAACGCTGAAGTTCTCAGCAAATTTTTGCAGCCCATTTCAAAAATAATTGAATAGCTAATCAATATCACAGCCGTTGGCCGTCGAGGCCGCCTGACTTTGTGTCCATGGATCTAATCCTATGGATATATTTGCAAAAAGGTTCCTTATTCTTCCTCATAATCTAGACAAGAATTAGAAATACTTCGCAGTTATGAGGGGGTATTCACCCCCACTTCACTCATTACCAACTGAACTAAAAAAATTAGCCCCAAACTCCTTCAGACTTCATTTTAAAATAAATAACTGATAATGCATCCTCTTGCCCCATGTCTTGCAACTAGATCTTACAAATATTGTAAATGCCTTGTTGATTTTTTTTTGTTTAGGTTAGGTTAGGTTAGTTAGTAAATTGATGGCTATTAAGATTAAATTTTTATTTATAGTGTATATATATATTTTTTTTCTAGAATAATAGTAACTCGACTGATATTAAGATTAAATTTTGTATTTATATAGTGTATTTTTTTTTCTTCTTTAATGTATTGTAAGTTTAACAGTTGATGAATAGGAAGTATTAATAGATCAAGAGAGAGACCATAAACACATTACTTTATATATTATTAAAAAAAAACGGGAACTGGACTAGATCTTTTTTTAATTCTTTTTCAGTTCCTTTTTGCGTATCAACAGAATTAATATTTATTTGTAAAAACTTATGTAAAAATGTAATTGATACTGCAAATAAACATATTATTATTATTATTATTATTAAAAATATACAGGGTGTCCTATATAAAAAATCAAATTTTCTTTTGATAAATCTTAAATTATTAATTTTAAAAAAATTATACTTAAACCATTAAATTCTACGTAAAAAGGTGCTTTGGAAATGTTTTCATAAAAATACAAAATTTTCCATAGCAAAAAAGTTACAGCGATTTGTTAAAAATGCATATTTTTGAAAAACACTCCGTAACTCCGAAACGGTAACAGATATCGATATGCGGTTTTCACCATCATGTTTTTGACAAAAATTGAGCTCCAGACACCGATATTAGTTTTTGTCTATCTCCTATAGAAAAGGGTGTTTCCATTTAAAAGCGTCGAATTTGACCCACCCTGTACTTATATTTTCATATTTTTGTATTTTTCTTTAAAAAGGTATGTAAATTTGGTAAAGTATAAACGGGATATAACCATTTTAGGACAAGCAAAAACTTGTATGAAGAGTGCATTTTTCTCAAAAAGTTAATAATAAAAAAGTGTTTACTCTACCATGTAAAGACAACCCGGGGACATATTACTAGTCTCTAATAATAAACGCATGTTTTGAAAATGAAAGAAAAATGAGACTTTTGCGAACATAAGTTTGGTTTGGTACGGATACGGTAAAAGTTTCCTGTAAATATGTATATCATCCTATATATACTGGGTGAATTTTCTACGATGTTCTCTATGGATAATCTAATCTAATCTTGGAAACTACTGCAGATAGAAAGTCGGTTAAATGGGGAAAGAATAGCAATTTTCTGGGGTCATAAATATGCGCCTTTCAGATTTTTGGAAAAGTTCATGGCTTCTTCAGACATTTCGAAAAAAAAACATTTCGGCTATTTTAAAAATTTTCCCTAATTCCATTATAATCTATTTTAGACAAAATGTTTTCAGACAAAAGTTGTAGATAATCACATCCTTTATGAAACTGTGTTCTCCGATTTTTTTTCTAAAGCCTGTCATTTTTGACATATGACACAAACATATGTTTTTTAAATGGAAACCATAGTTGGCCATGACTTCATAAAAACGCCATTCTTTAAGCTTTTGAGCGATATAAGCTATAATATGTTTTTTTCGAAAAATTACTGAGTTATAGCCAATTCGTATCATTTTTAAACAATTTCACTTAGTTAGCCATGGAAACAAGTTTATCGTCGTTGCTCTCAGAAATGTCAAACTGTCACATCCAAACTTTGTAAATTAAAATAAACAAAAATTGTAAATATGAATTTTTCAAATAAAGAAAAGCGAGTAGGATTATTGGTTCAACTTTTCTTGGCCATACATTTTCGAGGATATGTTGACCGGTGAACGTTTTACGCTTTTTAGAGAACGGTTTTCAAGACATGTTAAAAAGTTAAATTTAGAGATTCGCGCAACAATAGAGTGGTTCCAACATGCAGTGGCGTAGCGTGGATTAATATAGATGTGGGCAAAGTCGCATCATAGAGGCCGCTTTGCTTTCGTTCCCTAAATCTACAAATTAAAATAATCTTACCAAACATGCTTCGACACGACATATCTACTCTAATGGAGTTTGGTAGATTAGGCACTAAAAGTTGTAGTTCTTTGTAAAGCTCATAAGATTCTATGTCTGCTTTCCCATTTTGAAGTACTACAATTAAAGCATTACAGTGCTTCAAAAGTTCATTAAAAGAACGGGGAATCCCAAGTTCATAGACAAATCTTATTTTAGCGACTCATTAACTTGAGTCACCAAGTTTAAATATGCGAAAGGCTACCGTGTGTTTTTAAAGCGCAAAGCTAGGAATTATGTTTCGTTGTTCTTTCATGTTCAGAAAACTGACGAGAGTGGCCAATATTTTTTAAATTTTTATTTTATTTTTATATTAAAAAGGGATTTTAAGTTTGGTGGTATCGCATTTAAAGAGGCCTCGCGAGGCGAAGCCTTAGGCGAGGGCCACTTCGCCCACGCTTAGCTATGCCACTGCCAACATGACTCTCATTATGACACTCCTCCTATAATAAAAGAAATATTAAAAAATATTTATATCATAATTATGCAAACTCAGGAATAGGAAGAGTTGGACCAATTGCCTGGGCCTCCTCAATGATCTGACCTATCCGTTTTAGATGTTCTTATGCGGTATGCTTAACAGCAAGGTTTACAAAAGAACTTATGAATTAAGAGAGGCACAGTTTTTTTCAGTTTTAAAAAGATGCATTTATAAACAATGGCGAATTTTTTAACGCATTTTATAAAATAACTTAAAGTGTATGTAGTGATATAATTTTTTATGTTTTAGTTACAAACTAAAAATAAATAATGCACAGCAATGGAAATTGTAAAGAACCATTTAATAAAATTTTCTGTCTCTTTATGAGTTACAAATCATAACAGAATAAGAATACCATACCAACTAAGTGAAATTACTCAGGAAAGATGGTAATGGGCTCTTTCACTATATTTTGGAATTAGCATAATTGAATAAAGCAATTAATTCTAGAATTTTCTGTTATCTCACTTTCGAAAAATTTGAAGTCGTTCTTAAGAAAATAAATAAAAACAAAAAAGCCCAGAATAAAAATCCGCACTTTATTTTTAATACGTCACACCTGGCATGTTGAAAAGCGGCAACACGGCTGCGGCCGGGCCACCATGCTGACCCACCACCACCTCCACACAAAGCCATTCAACCAATATGGCGGAGATAGAAGTGCTTTATTTGGCGCGTATTTTAAAACCTGTTATATTTCCAAATTACGGCAATTTTCGGCATTTCACAGGAATGTCGGGTTAGATTACGTAATATTTCAATAATTTTTTAATATACAGGGAGTCTAAAAAAGTTCTCTACATGAGTATGGATTTTTTTGTATTATTACTTTTATGAAATCAGTTAGTTACTTTTTATAAAAAGGTCTGCTTTCTCAGAAAATAGGTACTGTTAAAATATTCAAACTTGAGGTAGCATATATAGGGTGTCCAAAATAATCGGAAAAAGAAATAACCAGAAATATATGACAAAAAATAGCAATATAAACTAAATATTCAATTGCAAACACTTACCTACCATAGTTTACAATTTACTGAACGTTTGATAAATATATATTATTATGGACAGTATAGGAAGTTACTTGTCTTAGTAAAAGCCTTGGTAAATGCTCTTAGAATTATAAACTGCACTGACTTGGGTCAAAAAATATGGAATATTTTTTCTATGTTTTGCAGCATTACACGAATGGGAATAAATTTAAACTATAATAGGTGAGGATAAATAAAAAATATAATATGTGTTTCAAGATTTTATATAGAAAAAAAACTAAACTAAACCAAACTTCCGCTTAGCTTAGTTTTCTTTACTCTTTCTCTTTACATAGGGCTTTGTCTTTGTGGTAAAGACGTCATTCCTTTTTTTTGCATAGTTCTTCAATAAAATATTGGATATTCTGAACAAGATGGATTAAATAATAAATTCTGACGTATGTGAGGGGCAATTGTGACCTAAAAAAAGACTTACATCCAGGCCATTTATATTTTCAAATGCCAATGTTGTCAATATCTTTCTGTGATCTTTTTGATGTAAAAAGCTTGATTCTTCTTTCAATATTTTACTTATAGTGAGGTAAGTGTAAGCAGTAGCCATAACTACATCCTCACTAGGGTAACAGAGGCTTTGGCCTTTGGCCTTTTTGAGGTATATTTAATGCCACTTCTTACCCGAGAACTACTAGTAGGAGTGAAATTATCTCTTTTAATAGCTGTCAACCATTTTTTACGAAGCTCGTCATTTTTGGGGAATATAAAAGCAGAAACCTTGGGACCCCCTCTATAATTCCCGTGACACTTTGGAACAGAGCATGTAAAAGGCATGCTACAATAAAATATTAATACCTATCTTTTGATTATTGTAAGTAACCATTATGCAGGTAGTACTATGCAGACTGGCGGCGAAGGCTTTTTACTCATTTAGGTGTAATATCTTGATAAATACTTCTAATTCTTACCTTAAAATAATTAATAATAGAGGAGTACGACAAGCACAAAAGTTTGAAGTTCCCTATGTGGAATGTCTGGTTTGGATTTTTATTACACTGTTATTTTATCATAATTTTCTGATCACACCATCTACTGAACACTAAGAACTAAACAAACGTGTTGCAGAAGCACAACAAACTAGAGATAATTAATTATTTCTGGTATGCAATCGGAACGAGAAACCACTACCGGCTTTTCAGGTTAAAGGTAAACAGTTTAATAATGCGCTGCCTTCGCCGCCATATTTGCCTTGCCCATATCATGTTGATTAGCTTTGAGTTGAGGTGGTGCTGGTCAAATCAAATCGCAATGTTGCCAGTTGTCGGCTGGCGCACGAGCACGGTTCTGCAATGTGATTGGGCGTATTTTTCATACGTCATCAATTGGCACTTTAAAATTATTTCAAATTAAAGCAATTTTGAGGGCCTAAAAAAAATTATTCAATGTCATGGAACTACTTTTTTTGGATAAATATACTGAAGATAGTCTTCTATTTCAGATTTTGTCCTTGAATTAGGTATTTTATTTTTTGTGAAAGAGCCCATTGACTATAACTCAGTAATTTCTCGAAAAAAAAAATTATAGCTTATATCGCTCGAAAGCTTAAAAATGGCACTTTTTATGAAGTCATGGCCAATTATGGTGAGAAGTGTCTAGCCCTAGCAGTCAACTATTAAGCTTGACCAATCAGGTTGGTGGTTAGCCTGGGTATTTGAAGGGTGTTAATTCATTTGTGTCTGTCAAAAACTCTAACGTGATTGGTCGGGCTTAATAGTTGCCTGCTAGGGCTAGACACAAGTATTATGGTGACCGTTCCATTTAAAAAAATATATGTTTGTGTCATATGTCAAAAATGACAGGCTTTAGAAAAAAAAACGGAAAACACAATCTAATTAAGGATGTGATTATCTACAACTGATTATCTGAAAACTTTCTGTCTAAAATAGATTATAATGGAATTAGAGAAAAGAGATGATTTCCGAGATACCCAAAGAGAACATCGTAGAATACTCACCCTGTGTATCGTATTCTGTAAAAAATAGAGAGAAATTCTTTCAGAGAAAATCTAGAGAATAGAGATGTCTTGGAAAAGTGGGCCAACCTGTATAAACTTACTTTAGTGCTGTCGTAATCGTTGTACTTAACAATAAGCGTGTCGTAGTTGTCCGACACGATCTCCTCTCGTTGCAACAACAAAAATTTATATTCTTTAATGGTAGTTTTCAGATTATTGCTGGAATCTAAAAGAACGTTGTAGGCTTCTAAGTGTACTTGGGAAGATTCGTTTATCTTATTATAAAACTTTTGACTGCTCACTTGTAGGACGGGATCGGTTAACGTAGTGCAATGAGCCGTGCGAATTTTGCTCCAAGATTTTGATGATTTCGGTGCACTGAAATAATAAAGAAAAAATATATGTAATAATCGAGTTAGATGATTTGTTAGAGAAGTAATTTATTTTGAATACATAGATTATTCAGGAAACAGTTTGTCTTATAAATTGTAATATATACACGGTGTACCAAACTAAGGGCTGGCAAAGGTTAGTTTTAGGTCGAGATTTCCATATGTAAGAAGAGTGCAATGCGTATATAATGTACTGAACAAAAAGAGAACAGTAAAAACGTTGCCAAATGTATAAAATAAACCGAGAAACTGTGCACATTGCTAAGAGACGTGGAAGCGGATATAGCAGATTCGTTGCGGTCCGCGCGGTAGACCGGTGCGGTCCACGGAATCAGCTCTTGAAATTTTAGTGAAGGATGTACATTATGAGTTCAGCTTCACGATTTAAGTCTCATGACACTTTATTTGCTTATTTATTAACGAATCATTGTAATTTTTCCTATAGCTTGTAAATTTTTAAGTGCAAATTAGAAACACTTGCACTTTTGAAAAAAATAAGTGGAATTGAGTTGGTGTTCGACATTGGTCGCGCTATTAGAACTCTGAATTCAAAAATCGATATCCCGAAATCCATTAGAAATAATTGACTGTAGTTTTGTTCAAAACCTTTTTTAATATTTATGCTATACAGGGTGTTCCAGAGAAAAGTGCAAGTATTTTAACTGGTAGTATAGTTCAACCCCAGAAACACCCCTATAAGGTTTTTTTGCGAAAAAAAAATTTGAAAATTCGGAATTTTTTGAAATTTTTTTTGGATATTTTTTAGTTTTTATTTTAAAAAAATAATTTCTTGATAAAATGGCAACATAGGTAGTAGATTAAATTTACAACAAAGAAAATCCCGAAAAGATCCAGTGGTTCTAAAAATTTTAGCAAAAAATCATTTTTTTTTGGAAATTTTCAAAGTAAAATAACTCTGTTATTTTGGACTTATTTGAAAAAGGATAAGGAAAAAATATGTTTCTTTTATCGAGATCTACCACCCCTTAAAATCCTTGCACTTATTTCTGGGACACCCTGTATTTTCTTTGTAGACAGTATGTGAAAATCTTTATAAATAAAAAAAGTTATGCTAAAAAAAAGCTACGCACTAAAATAAATAGCTTTTTTCTTTTTAATTTTTGGAATAAAAAAAAACAAGCCTTACGAATTTTTTTTATTTAAACGTCTTGTAAAAGATCCGAATTTCAAAATAAGAAAATACGTTTCAATATCTAAAGTAGTTTTTAAATTATCGCGATTACTGACGGTTTCTCGTTAAAAAAATGGACACCCTAACGATTATCCTTATAATTCCATTTCAGATGCTCAGAAACATATCTTTTTTCATATTGTCAAGGTCAAGGGCTAAAATGTATTACTGGTTGCCTGCACAACCGCAACGTATCCGCCAGAAATTAAAAGACTTTTTCAGGCGCCATCTTTTAGTCAAGTCGAGAAGTAAGGGAATCAGACAATGGAATTGTCTGGTATGAAGAAGTACGCTTTCCGAGAATTGGGGAAATTTCGAGAAGCAGTCAATAGAGTATATAAGCCGGAGCCATCGACAACTGGGAGACAGTTTTGAAATTTGAATATACCGCGTGGAAATTGAAAATCGGACAATTTGGTGAAGGAATCTTATAAATAGTTAGTTTGTTGTGTGTTATAAGTTAGTAATTGTGTATAAAGTGAGAAAATAAATTCGTTAAGTATTTTATCGTGAGTTTAAATTAGTGGACCCACGGAATCCGGTGTCAGAAGTTGGTGTCGGAAGTGCGAACAATTGGTGTCGGAAGTGCGATTCAAGAGGATTTTAAGAAGAAATTAAGTGGATTGGAAGATTTTTAGACCGAATTAGAGTATTTTTATGGTTGGTACAAGGGAACAAGCGAAGAAAATGGAGGAAGTAAGCAAACTATTAGGCGATTTTATGGAGAATATGAGAAGAGAAAAGGCAGAAGAACAAGAGAGCTGCGAAAAGAGAAGAGCAGAAGAACAAGACCGCCTACTGAAGATTCTGGAAAATCAAGACAAAATTTTCGAAGATTTGAAAATTCAACGACAACAAGACAAAGAAGAACAGGACCGGCTTGAGAAAATTTTTAGAAGATATGAAAATTCAACGACAACAAGACAAAGAAGAAGAACAGGACCGGCTTGAGAAAATTTTAGGCAATTTAGAAAGTCGTCAGAAGAATGAATGGAGGAAATTTTAGAAGATATAGAAACGCGCCGCCAAAAAAGAAAGACTAGAAGATCAGGACCGTCTTAAGAAAACTTTAGAAAATCAGGAATTTCGACTACAGAAGAATTTTGAAGACCTGGAAAAACGACAGGAGAACCATTTCCAAGAAGTCGTAGAAGATCTGGAGGAACGCCTTCAGCAGAAAATGGAAAAATTAGAGATGGACATACAGAAGACCAAGGTACAAGCAAGGACACCTGGCGTCTCTGGAACTGCGAACCTCAAGGCCCCGACCTATGATGGACAAACTACTTGGACAATGTACCACCGCCAGTTTGAAGCAGCCGCTGCTGCCAACCGATGGACTGACCAGGAGAAAGCAGCGGCACTCGTCATCGCGCTGCGTGGCCCTGCCCTGGAATTGTGCTACAAACTATTCCTGCAGCCCAACAGCAGGAATACCAAACTTTGGTTGCTGCACTGGACAGAAGATATGGCGACCAACATCGACGCCAACTTTACCAAACCCAGATCAAGACACGCCTGCAGAGGTCCGGAGAGAGTCTGCAGGAATTTGAAGCAGACTTACGTCGGCTGGTACACCTAGCGTATCCTGAAGCAACGGAAGGATTTAGGGAGGAACTCGCTGCTCAGTGTTTTATCAGCGGACTGAGGGACAACGAGTTACAGAGGGCTCTGCAAATATCCCGATTCTCTACCAGCAGCGAAGCACTGGTCAGGGCGCTGGAAAGTGAAGCTGCTTTTAGCGCCATCCCTAGACCGAAGATAAGATCAGTAACGGTCGAGGAACAGCCCGAAAGCACTCACAGGGGTTTGGAGGAGATGTGTAAGAAAGTCGACAAACTATGTGAGCTACTAATAAACAAGAGAGTCAACAACACCGGAAGATCCCAGGACATAAGGTGCTTTAGATGTGGCAGGAATGGCCACATCAAACGGGATTGCCGCGTCCAAATGCGATCCCGTTCACCATCCAGAGAACGTAGGCACCAGGAAAACTAAAATCAGTCAATACTAAGGGGCGAGTATTGACTGGGGAGAACAGAGCCCCCAGGATTTTTTCCATTAGGAGTCTAGGAAGAACCGCTGACAGTTTGGTGATCGACGAAAGTCAATGGAAAGGGAATTCGAATGACTGTGGATACTGGCGCTATGGTATCGTTGGTGCGGGCTAACTCAGTGCAAGGATTGAAGCTGATGTCTCTGGGAAGAAGAGTGTGTTTACGTACAGTTACGGGGGAAATGGCCGTTGCACGGGGAAAGGCTATCGTCGAACTGAAGTTAGGAAATTTGAAGTTTCAGCATAGCGTCTTAGTGGCAGATATTGAAGATGACTTCATCTTGGGCATGGATATGATTCGTCAACATGGATTTTCGTTCGATCACCAGAGAAATATCTTAAATATTGGATATGAAGAGTTCATGTTATCTCCAGACGAGGGACCAGGCAGAATGGATGTAAGATCAGCGGAAACTGTGGTGATACCTGGTAATACCGAGAAGATCGTATTCGGTAAAGTGGAGAAAATCGCTGGGTGCTGTGTTGGACTGGTAAAAAGTGGCGACAAGAAACAAGATAGGTACTTAGTAGGAAAATCATTGGTGAACACCGACAAGAATATACCGATCAGAATTGCGAATGTTTTCCCGAATTGTGTCAAGATTCAAAAAGGTGACAAGATAGCCATCTGCGAACCTGTAAGAAGTGTCACCCGATGTGATGAAGTGTCGTCAGCTGTTACACAAATGGCATCCAAAGAAACATTAAAACATCTAGAACAGCCATGGGATCACCTAACATCTGAGGAGAAACAGAAGGCTAAGCAGTTCCTGCGAAAGCATGGCAGTATTTTTGAGAAAAATAACAGTGGAAGAACGGATTTTGTGAAGCACCGGATTAATACTGGTCATGCTCAGCCGATTCGACAACGTCCTAGAAGGGTGCCCCTTTCCAAACAACAAGAAATGGAGACAATGGTAGATAAGATGCTAGAAGATGGAGTTATCGAAGAATCATCGAGTCCATGGTCATCTCCTGTTGTTTTGGTGACGAAGAAAGATGGTAGTACACGATTCTGCGTGGACTATCGGAAGCTCAATGACGTCACTAAGAAGGACAGCTACCCACTGCCACGTATAGACGACACGTTAACCACACTGGCAGGTTCGTGCTGGTTCTCCACTCTCGACTTAAAGAGTGGATACTGGCAAGTTGGTCTGGACGAGGAAGACAAAGAAAAGACGGCTTTTTCTACAGGAAACGGACTATACCAATTCAAGGTCATGCCGTTTGGATTATGCAATGCTCCAGCCACTTTCGAACGTCTCATGGAGGTGGTGTTAAGAGGATTAACTTGGAAAACGTGCTTGGTTTACCTCGACGATGTATTGGTTATGGGAAGAACTTTTGAGGAGCATTTGCGAAATCTAGAAGAAGTCTTCGGCCGCATACGGAATGCTCACCTGTACTTGAACCCGAAGAAGTGTAGCTTATTCCAGCGACAAGTGGAATTTTTGGGCCATGTAGTCTCAGCAGACGGAATTTACACTGACCAGAAGAAAATCGCTGCAATCAAGGATTGGCCTAAACCTCGCGACAAACATGAACTTAGAAGTTTTCTGGGTTTATGCACCTATTACAGAAGATTTGTCAAGGGATTTGCCAATATAGCTGCACCCTTACATAGACTTACAGGTGATGAAGTCGGCTACGAATGGAACACCGACTGTGATGTAGCCTTTGGAAGACTTAAGACGGCTTTATGTTCAAGTTCTATTCTAGCCTACCCACAACAACAAGGGAGGTATATCCTGGACACAGACGACAGCAACATCGGCATAGGTGCAGTGCTATCACAAGTGCAAGATGGCGAAGAACGAGTGATAGAATATTACAGTCGAGTTCTATCCAAACCGGAAAGGAATTATATTGCTGCAATGTATTATAAAAAATTATTATATATACCTATACTGCAAGAAATTTGTTTTCTGTTATAATTTGGCTTTGCCTGAAAAAAGCCTTTACCATCCTTTTACTATCGATAGTTGCGCCTCGGTGGTACAAAAGTACTTCCATTGCACGCAGGCCGCCATCTCCCGTTCGGGACTTAATATCTAACCGACACTTTCCGACAAGTCAGAATTAACTATCTCTGCGCTGTGGTTGTCATTTTGTGGATCTGCCCAAGTTCACCTGATGATGGAGTAGGACTCCGAAACCGGTAGTGAGAGCAGGTTGATCCACATTATGACAAACACAGCGTAAAGGCTCAAATTCTATATCAGCAGTTAAGTGGCAAAGAATCCCTATATAATTTTATTATATATACCTATACTGCAAGAAATTTGTTTTCTATTTTATAATTTAAATTTCATATATGAATTTTTTAATATATGTTTAACATGTGTTGAAAATCTTAAGTCAGTATCGAAATATAACCCCAAATTGCTGCAGCTGTTCGTAATATTAAGGATACGGTTGTGGTTGTTCATTTTCACGCTTCATCCCGCTTTTTCATTACCTTCTATACCTGGGTGGGCTGGCACCCACAGTAGGAGGACCTTATTGTAATTGTCTAATTTATTCAGTTTCTCTAGGCATTCTTTGACTAACTTCGAATTGATGACTGAGATGACCGCTTTTAATACTGCCTGAATATCGAATAAGATGGCATTTCTGATAGTTCCTATCTAAGATAAATGGCGTCGTCAATGTCGACAGTAATAACACAATTAAAAAGAGTCAAACTTTGGTGTTGGAAACACTGTTAAGACAGGTTTAGACGTTAATAACCATCATTAGCTTGTTCTGAATTGTCTATCGTTCAATCATCAAAATCCGATGTCAAAATCAAGTTCAAGAAATGATTTCTTGTGGATTATTATTATATTTAAAGAGATAATTGTTTATTAATCAATACAATACAGTAAATTCATGAGGTTACGTAATATTATAGTTATCCGCTTAGCGATAAGTTGAAGCCCTAACTGGATAACAAACCTTCCCTTCGGTTTAAAGTATATTTTTAGAAGTAATCTTTATGAACACTGGTTTTAAAATACTACTGTTTAATACGATTATACCAAATCGTTTAAAATTTAGACAAGAATAATTAAAGTAAAATTGTATGAAAGATTTTACGGTGTGCGTGCTTCTTCATATATTGAAAATAAATAATCCGAATATACAGGGTGGTCCAAACTGTATTCCGGAAAGAGCATTCCGGAATTTAGCAGTATATTGTGCAGATGAAAATATGTAAAAAAGTTCGTATAAATGTATGTCCTAAAATGCTTAGTTTCGAAGATACAGGGTGTAGAAGTTTCATTTTTATTTCGATTTTTTCCAAATAATTTCTGAAGTAACATCAATATTTGGATGAAAATTGGTGTCTGATTGTTTTTTGGTATGAAAAATTTGATTTTGATGTCAATATGGCTCCTACTTGTAGAGGGCGCCACCTACATATTTTTAACTGGTTTGAAGAGTAATAACTTTTCGTCCGTACCTGTATAAAACTAATAATTAAAAAAATGTACATTTACGATGTTTTTAACGTAAAAAAGATCTCTTAATAAAAATCGCTACGAGTAATAGTTCTCCAGATATTTGAAATCGAAATTATCAATACCTGTCATCATTGACATAAATTAAACATGTTGACTAAATAGTTAATAGACGGAAATCATAAATTTCAAATGTTTTTGTGCCAAACCATCATCAATCATCATATTTTCGAAGAAAATTTTATGATTAATTTAAAAAAATAAAAATTTTCCAAATTTATCTTTTTAGTCAATTAACTATCTACTGGAAGATAAATTTCTTGCAGTTCTTAGGTATATAATTAAAATTATATAAGAGTTTCTTGCCTTGAACTGCTAATATAGAAATTAATTCCACGCTGTGTTCGTCATAATGTGGATCAACCTGCTCTCACTACCGGTTTCGGGGCCCTACCCCATCATCAGGTGAGCTTGGGTATTTCCACAATATGTCGAGCACAGCGCAGAGTATATAAACACGACTTGTCGTAAAGTAGCGGTAAGATATTAAGTCCGCATCGCGAGATAGCGGCCTGTGTGCAATGGTAGTACTTTCGTACCACCGAGGCACAACTATCGATAGTAAATAAAGGCTTTTTTCGGCTAGCCCAAAATATATAATGGAAAATAAATTTCTTGCAGTTTTATTATGACAAGTCGTATGTATATACTCTGCGCTGTGCTCGTCGTTTTGTGGAAATACCCAAGCTCACCTGATGATGGGGTAGGGCCCCGAAACCGGTAGTGAGAGCAGGTTGATCCACATTATGACGAACACAGCGTGGAATTAATTTCTATCAACTATCTACTCAACATGTTAATTTTTTGTCAACGACATGTATTGACTATTCCCATTCTAAATATCTCGAGAAGGGTTGCTCGTAACGATTTTTACCAAGAGACATTTTTTACGTAAAAAAATACGAAAATGTATATTTCTACACTCAGCAGTTCTATACAGGTACTAACAAAAAGTTATTACTCTTCAAAACAATTTAAACTCATGTAGGTGGCGCCCTCTACAAATAGAAGTCATAATGACATCAAAATCAAATTTCTCATGTCAAAAAACTATCAGACACCAATTTTCATCCAAATATTGACATTGCTTCAGAAATTATTTGGAAAAAATCGAAATAAAAATGAAACTTCTGTATCTCCGAACTAAACACCCTGTATCTCCGAAACTAAGCATTTTAGTACATACATTTATAAGAAGTTTTTTACTTCTTTTTATCTGCAGAATATGGTCCCGAAGTTTCCGGAATACAATTCGGACCACCCTGTATATTAAGATTGTGAATTTAAAGTATCATTAAAACCACTTACCAGCTCTGCATGTAACGTAATAGACCTTTTCTGGAATAAGAAAAAAAAAAGATTTTGTATTTTTTTATTAAAATAGAGTCACTAAAAGCAACAGTAATATTTCAATTATACTAATTCAGGACAACATGATAACAGAATAAGATTACCAGTTTTATTAGACAAAACTTATTTAATGTTAATGAAATAAATTAATTAGAAACTACGATATCTATCAAGCAATTCAAAATTTCCTCAAAAATGAATTAAATTAAAAAGCAATTCAACCCTAATACATCCTTCTAATTGAAAACCTTTCATTATATCTGCATTTAGAATGATAAAGGAAATCAAAAATTACAGTTTTTTGTGTGTGGTCCCACTGTACTTACTTCATTGATGGTTGGTGCAAGGCAGTAAGTGCGGCGTGTATAGTGATGGATACGGCTGACAGATGAAAGTAATCGAACACAACGGGTAAATGATAGTGTAGTCCCTCGATCGATGAAAAGTTGAGCTGCAATGTTCGAGATGACACTAGAGCCATAGAGTTTGGTGAGGTGTCGCTGAACCACAAGTCGAGTACTATCGCAAATTCGGCTCTTTCCAACGATTCGCGCAGATTATTGGCGTCGACCAACATGTGGCATCTAGAAAAAACAACATTTAAATTGTAATTACGGTAGTAATATATGATTAATAATAATAGCCCCCGTATACCGTGTGGTGCATCATAACGCGGGACATAGGAAATCCCATGTAAATTTCGAAAAGGTAAAATATTATCTCCCCAGATGATTTTATGCAAAAAGTGCATTAGACTTTATTTAAGAGGCGTTAAAGTTTTTTAGTTTGAAAGTGTGGTTAATATTTTTCTGAATTGGAATTATCATCTACAAAAGAATTAGTTGAACTGAGTTGAAGTATTCGCGGTGTACAACTTCTGTTCGACAGTTCATTACTCCACCACTAGCAGGCCTCGCTCATATCACATACATCCACAATAATCCAAGGGATAATCGAAATATTTGTAACACAAGAAACTTTATTAAACTATACCCAAGTAGCAAAAAGAAATTCTAAAAGGATTGAATGATTTTATAACAGTCGAATAGCGTTGTCTTAAGGACTGCTTGATTTTATTAAGCGTTTGGTTTCGACCATTCTGTTTTTTAATAAAAGTTGTCATATTAAACTATTTTCTAGTAGTTTTTACAACGTATCCTATAACGCATTAAACGATAATTTCTTTTGGTATGATATAACACTTAATAAGACAATGCTATATGATAACATACATATTATTTTATTAGACTCTTATACCCACCATGTAAGAGTTCTATAATATTCATATAACTAGTAGTCACAAGATCATATAATAGTTACTTAAACTTGTCTTATTAAAGTTGTATTACGTTGTATGATAGAACGTTTTATTGCGTTAAACTACGGTGCTGTATACAACACAGTTATATAGCCTTATATGATAAAATTGTGATTAACAAAATAAATTCGCTGTAATATCTGCATTATAAAACTGGTAAAGTACAATATAACCTCATTTTAAATTAAATGGTATACCTAGTTATTTATTTAGTTATTGTTGTTGTTGCAAAAGTAATATCTACGTACGAGTATAGTCAATCACAGCTATTATGAATTCTGGACAAAGTTGGAAAAAAGTTAACAAACGCAGTGGTAGTTATAAAGAGCATGTAAGAAAAAAACTCCTCAAAATTACGGCAAATAATCCCCAGAATTCCCTGGGTTCTCAAAAGCCAAAATCACTCGGGTTGTCTGGCTTCTTCAAAGCATTGTTGCCACGTTGGTGTAAAAGTTTTACTGTAGTAATGTTTGTATTGTTTTATTGTTGTTTTCCAAGTCCTTAGGTTGCCGCTTTCACGTCGGGCATGCATGAAATGCGTTGCGCATGAATCCCATGAAAATCTGATCATGTTTGTTAGTTTACATACCTAATCAAATGAGATTTGGCAACATCTATTTGTCACAAATCTCAATATGTCCCAAAATAGTTCTATAGTGCCTGGAAATTTGCGTAATGATAAATATTTATCCTATACCGTTTTATTTTACAACAAAGACTTATTTAAGGGATTCATTTATAATAAAATGGTTGCATTATAATTCGCCATGTTTAAGGCAGAACTTTATATGTCCTATGGCCGCCATTATATGAAGCAAAATGAAAAACATCAAAATACATTGTAAAATGTTATTTTTTGACAACTATTTTGTGATAAGATTCCACATACAGTAATAAAGTGTTTAATTAAATAAAAACAAGAATTTTTGAAAAATTTTATTTTATTTTATTGTTTAAATTTATATGTAAACCTTAATCGAAATTAAAGCGCTTTTAATTTTTGCCAAATACATACCTATAATCTAGCAGTAAAATTTTCGGCGCAACAAAAATTGTCCCTACTTTTCTCAAACCCTATTAATGATTTTTATATTACATATTTGTTGTACCTTCTGGCTCTTACCCGCCATTTTCATTGTCGAGTAAAAGTCTCCTTTTAACAATCCATATCCTCTAGATTCATTTTACGACACGCTTAAAATATAATTTGTCTCTAATTTTCTTCGGTAAAAATAAAATACTTGTACTCGCTAAATGATCAAATGTTTTATTGTTCTGTTTCTTAGATGTGACCACGTAATACACAATAAAACTAGTTTTATAATAGTCATATAATGCTGTGTAAAATAGTTGCATAAGAGTTGTATACCCTTTTTATAGAACTTCTATACTACTAAACGGTTGTATAAAAATGGGCCTTTTTTGGTTGTAAAGCTATCATATTACGGTCATATAGCACGTTATATGAATTGAGGTATCCTATAAAAATTATCACATAGCTGTTTATACAACCTTTATAAAATAAAATTTGCTACTTGGGTAGTAATTAATAATTAATAAAACGTTTATATAATTCCCTATTCCAGCCAAACAATACCCCAAATGATTGTGAAATTCACGTCTCACAATACAAAACTGTTAAGGGGACAACCTTTAGCATTACACAAAGGTGTCGTTTTCAGTCCATCTAAATTTCTGAATTTAATATGCCCATAAAGACGGTTTTCCAGTGTGCTTCAAAGGAAGAAGTCGTTCGGCGAAAAAGCCAGTGGTCTTTTGCTACTATATCCCCAATAAACGGGAGTCAATGTCTTTCTTTTCTTCAGCATGAAGAATATTCAAGTCATTGTTATTTTCTTCCTGTTCAATTACTTTTGTCTTCCCACTTCCATGTGCTTAATACCTTAGTGCCTTTAGTTTAAACCTTCGGTTTATTCTTTAAACTGGTGGCTTATTCGGTATAGGCTTTTCGGAGACTGAGCTGCGACTATAACTAACACAGCGGGAATACTATTACCAGCAAAATGCCGTTTAACCATCGTAACTTTTTCAGAAGTTGCAAAATTCATAATTATTTTATACAAAATTACTCTGTTTGGTACCTTCAAATTTTTGTAAACAAAATGTGACATCGAATTTGACAATGACACAATCACATTTTTGCTGGTATTTTAATTGTAACTTTCTCTGGGCCGTATTAAAAATTTTACTAATTTGAACGAACAGTTTTATACGCGTAAAAATTAGTTTTTACGTGTAACAGTTTTATTCGCGTAAAATAAGAAAAATAATAAAAATCGTTTTTTACGTGTAACAAAAGTTTTTTTACACGTAATAATTTGATTCACTTTTACAAAATTTGTATTAAAATATCAATCTTTTTTTTAAACACGTGGACTGCTCACAAATACATGTCGCGTCACTATGTATTTCTAAGCCGTTACCTGTTTTCGTTGCCTCTAGCTCGTGTGTCACGGCTTTGAATTTTTACTCCCAGCGCGCATATTAATTATAACACACAAATAACCATAAAACTATAACGTAAAAAATATATACACAAATAAACTAAATTTCCTAAAGTAAATGGCAAATAATAATTATTATTTTTACACACACCACTGGCACTAGCAGTAAACTGCGTTGTGTCGAATATCCAGCCCGTTCAACTTTCGATCCAAGCATATATTTCATTTTTGTCTTTTCAATGCTAACCGCGCCGACCTCGCCCATCTCTTTCTCACAGGATTGATTGTTGAATGGGCCGGGAAATCCACGAGCTACTTACGAGCTTGCGACGTTACTAATCGACATCTTGATAGAAACTGCAAACCTGCCGCTTCTTTTGAGTGTTTTTAATGGACACAAATTGAAAGCTGCAAACGGTAAAATCGCAAAAGCGCTTCACACGCAAAAATGCGTTGTGTCACCGTGCTTCATTTCCCTCGTATAGTGGACACATAAAAGTAACAGTTTCGAAACATGCGTGTCCCAATGGTTGCACGAATAAAACGCTGATACGTAACTGTTCCTTAAATGTGACAAAATATTGCTCAATGGGTAGTATTATCAATAAATCATCATAATCAATATTAGGCGATGCAGGAAGGTTTTTGGACTACGGGGATATTGCTGGATATGATTTGACATTTTTTGATTTTATTTTTTTCTCTATTTTTGCATCCATTTCAAGGAACTAATACTTAAAATAAAATATAGACTGAACTATTTACATCTCAACGCGGTCAAACAATCTTTTTTGTACACATGTTTACTTCTGGGTACAGTCGACCGAGCCTTCCTCATCCAGCCTATGTTGTCACGTTTTTAATATTATCAATATTTTTTTTCTTGTTATACACATATATTGAGATATTAATACTACAGTTTAATAAAGTAGGTTTTAATATTCCATAGATGTATTAAATAGTCCTTATACTACTAAATTATAAGTCGGATACTGTTTAAAAAGGATAAGTTCTTTACAATATGACAACACCGATTAGAGGCGGGGGAGTCTATTCATTCCTTTATTACCTTGTAGTACGCGTCGCACGTGTGCGGTAAAGCTTTGTTGCCTCTATGTCCCCGGCTGTATTAACGCATTTTCTTAGCTTGTAGTCCTTAATTGTTTATTTTATTGACTTTTTCTGTTCAAGAACTATAAAATATGGTTCGCCAGTGCCAAATTTGCAAGATATTTGACTTAAATAATCCATTTAAGTCTTGAAACGACTTTCGACCGGCAGGCAACTCTCAATTTACCCATTGGGAGTCAGTGGCGTTGTTGTAGAAAGGCGCTTATTTAGATAATATTTTAGTAAAATGTAAAATCTGAATTTTGAATTACATTACATTATTTACTTACTTACATTGTAACAAAATCATAATTATAACCCTGTTAATAATTAATAATGTTTTTATTAAAAATATATTCCAGTTTATTCTAAAATTATCTTCAAAATCTAAAATAACATACAAGAATTTTAAAATGATATTATATTATGAAACAATATTTTTTAATATACCAGGTCGTCTCAAAAAGTGTCTCCCACCCCTATAACTTTTTATTTTTCAGATAAAAAAACAGATTTGTATGTTAGTATGTATATGACATAAATTAGGATTTATTGACGTATTCAGTTGTTTTTGGTCTCTTCCTATTTCACCGAAATTATTACATCTTTTAATTTTTAAAGGCACCATCGGTATATTGCTACTTTATTCGATAAAAAATGACACTCTGAATAGAATGAAATATGTCAACTT